ATTAAAAAATAAAGCAGGCAAATCTGAGAAAGAAATCTAATTGGTGTGGTCTTAAAGACTTACTGGAAATCACAATTTTTCACAGTAATTTTACATTTATTTAACGCTTTTTTTGTGGTCACTTCTGTACAGCAATTACGGTGAACAAATAATTTGCTAACTTTCTTTTTCCTGCACTTGCCACCTCTGCAAACAAAGTGTTTTGTGTGTCACCAACTAGAAAAGATTGCCTGCAGCAAAAAAGTATTTATACATGTACCCAGTAAATCGAACATGTAAAATGCAGAATTAAATAAGTCTCACCTGATACTCTTGTTTATAGGTCCTCAAATCACCAGGTCTGGTCTGGTCTGGTCCAATCCAGCCTCGTCAGGTTGAGACAGGAGTCCTCACTACTGCATCAGTCAGCAGCCACCTATTAAACTATATAACATTGTAAGTTACACACTTGTCACAAATGACACCAAGTACATTTGTAAATGGTTGGTAAAATACAGGAAATCTGATTTTCTCACCTGATACATCTTTGGTGTCTTCAAATCACCAGGCCTGGTCTGGTCCAATCTTCTCTGGTCAGGTTCAGACAGGAGTCACCATCAGTCAGCAGCCACCTAATTATACAACAGTACAAGTTACACACTTGTCTCAAATAACACCATGTAAATGATAGGGTTATTACGGAATTCAGATTTTCTTACCTTGTATCATCTTGGAGTTTTCAAGTCACCAGGTCTGGTCTGGTCCAATCTTCTCTTGTCAGGTTCAGACAGGAGTCACCATCAGTCAGCAGTCACCTAACCATACAACATTGTAAGTTGCACACTTGTCATAAATGACACCAAGTACATTTGTAAATGGTTGGTAAAATACAGGAAATCTGATTTTCTCACCTGATACATCTCTTGTGTCTTCAGATCACCAGGTCTGGTCTGGTCCAATCTTCTCTTGTCGGGTTCAGACAGCAGTCACAATCAGTCAGCAGCCACCTAACTATACAACATTACAAGTTACACACTTGTCTCAAATAACACCATGTAAATGATAGGGTTATTACGGAATTCAGATTTTCTTACCTTGTATCATCTTGGAGTTTTCAAGTCACCAGGTCTGGTCTGGTCCAATCTTCTCTTGTCAGGTTCAGTCAGCAGTCACCTAACTATACAACATTGTAAGTTGCACACTTGTCATAAATGACACCAAGTACATTTGTAAATGGTTGGTAAAATACAGGAAATCTGATTTTCTCACCTGATACATCTCTAAGTGTCTTCAAATCACCAGGTCTGGTCTGGTCCAATCTTCTCTGGTCAGTCTCAGACAGCAGTCACAATCAGTCAGCAGCCACCTTACTATACAACAGTACAAGTTACACACTTGTCTCAAATAACACCATAACCATGATAGGGTTATTACGGAATTCAGATTTTCTTACCTTGTATCATCTTGGAGTTTTCAAGTCACCAGGTCTGGTCTGGTCCAATCTTCTGTTGTCAGGTTCAGACAGGAGTCACCATCAGTCAGCAGTCACCTAACTATACAACATTGTAAGTTGCACACTTGTCATAAATGACACCAAGTACATTTGTAAATGGTTGGTAAAATATAGGAAATCAGATTTTCTCACCTGATACATCTTTGGTATCTGGTCCAATCCAGCCTCGTCAGGATATCGTCAGGTTCAGACAGGAGTCCTCACTACTGCATCAGTCAGCAGCCACCTAACTACAAACATAATAAGTAAAAAAAAATAATAATCAAATAATCAAGTAAATGGTAGGTAGAATGCAGTATTCAGATTTTCCTCACCTAGCCTGATACTCTTGTATCTGATCATCAGGACAGGAACACCTGCACAGCTGGCAGACCCTCGGGGCACAGGTAACTAACTAACTACAAATGTGCATGAAAAGATTAAGTTACAAGGTGTTATCAGCCATGTCATACACAGACGACATCAGGACATATGGCCACACCAATTTAATTTGTTGGTTCTCGGAATCGCCGCTTCAAAAAATCGCAAAATGAAAAAAAAAAAAAACTTAATTACTACCCCAAAGCCCCGGACGTCGGGGAACGTGTGTTTGGGACTCCCAGTATAGCGTGGCTGGCACCATTTTTCCTGGTAAAAATACAATATTAGTGCCAGTGAAAAGCATGTCCATTTGTAAGAAAACCCATTAAAAGTCCCCAGATACCGTTATCTTGGCAAAGAAAGCGGTAAATAGCTTATTTTCTTGATGAAACATCGGGCCGCTGGCGTCTTTCTAATCCGGGCGGCCATCTTTCTTTGTTCATTTTAAACTCTCGGCACAACTCTCGCGAGACTTGATATCCTTATATCATTAGTGAGGTCAGGTGACGAGGTATCTTACGTACAAGTGAGCTGAGTGGGCGTTTCAAAATGTTCCCAGAATAGGCTTATTGTTTGGGTGATTCTGAACTGCAATCTGACTAACTTGGCTAATTTTTGAGGGGAAAATAGGGGAAACAATATTCTAAACAGCCTCAAAGGTGACATTGTTGGCAAAGCTGGTATTTAAAATGAGATTCTCCCTCGTGGCCGAGGCGCGCATTGGCCAAAGAGGTTTGACAATGTGTGACTAATTTTCTACCCTCAGGAAATCTGACTTTGACAAACATGGCCCGAATTTTCTTCACGGGTCACATGATTAACACTGTGCTAGATTGTTTTTATATAGCTTAACTTTAAAATAGGATAGAAAAGTTTCTTTAAAGGTAAGACATTGTGTTGAAATAAGTCAACATTGTCTTCAAGTTTCATTTATAGCAGTAAATACTGTCCAATATTGTCTAACATATCACTTGACATAAAATTGCCTAATAATTTTATTTATTAGGAAATAAAAGATTTCCTTGCTGCAATTATGAATACCATAATACACATTGTGCCCACGCCGTGCCTGCCGTGTGGCCTCGCTGCAGTAGGTCCCCCTATGCTGTGAAAAAATCCTGGTGAGAACCCTGCATAGGCTATAAAACAGCAATGTTTTAGCATGTATACTAGCATGGGCATGTTTTTTTTTGTTTTTTTTTCGCCCTGTCGCTTTACATTTTTCATGAAAAAATCCGAGAACCAACAAATTAAATTGGTGTGGCCTATATAAAAAAACACTAAACAAAGACAAACAACTACAGATGTGTACTAGTAGACCAGAAATGTTGGATGCCATGAAAAAATGTGCCCAGGAGGAGACTTGTCAGATAGCAACAACTGTACTTACAACTGTAACAACTAGAATAACAGACTTACTTAAACTGTTAGGGCCAAAAAGTTAGCATTTTTTGATTGATGCAGAACCTGAATACCCGGTATAACATGTACATGTTTTGTCATTTTATACCGCTCTGAAATATCTAGCCAACTAAAGAATAATGTTTCAAAATAGCTTTGAACATTTCAACAGACATATTCTAGTGTTTTCCATGGGGAAATGTCCCACAAATATTCTTGCCATGTTTCTTTTTAGTTTCACAGACAAGGGACACAAATCTTGGACCAAGCAAGGACATTATATATACAGAAATAATTTGAAAGTAACGTCCACTTTTCTCTCTTCAAAATTTAACTCGAAAAGTAGCAATACTAATATTTTGCAACTGCGATATTCCGAGAGAAGACGTGAAGAGTGAAGAAAACAGCGAAGACATATTTTTTAAAAGACGACCAAAAACTAGAAATTAGCGCGTTGTATTCTCAACATCCCACAAATTTACCACGAATATACCGCAACCACCGCTACGTGCTGTTACCAGTTTGTAGGAAACCAATTTGACGACATGGTTTCTTGTCTTGTCTTACCTTGTGAAAACTCTGCCCTCCCCCGACCACGCTGTCCCTCCTTCCAACGGGCGCCATTTTCTCGTCTTCTCCAAAAATCCACCAGGTCGGGAAATGCAGATTTTTCTCGTCAAAAGTCCAGAAAACGGCACGACTACGCCGTAAAACATCCCCGAAGATTTGTTCTACACGTTAGGGTGAATACTTTTCCAACCAGAAGCTAAAATTTACCAAGAAGTTGAAAATAATTCCTCAGTAATAGTAACGTTACTGTTCCTCGCGTGACCGCAACAGACGCAGACTGAGTGGCCGTGCCACGTGGGGTTTTTACACAGCTGTGCACAACAGCTGGTCTAATTTCTACCCTGATGACCACAACTACTTTACCACCAAGAGTCAATCCCTCAAAAATAACGGTTCTCTGTCCACCATTTCGGACTAGTCTGTGTCAAAATTACACACAGGTAGCGCCAGCAGCAACAAAGTATTGGTAACGAACGTGTAGTAGCCGGAATCTGCTAATCTAATCAGCCCCGGCTCATGTACGCGCACCACACGTTTCCGTGCAAACGGTGCCTGTCCTTGGTGCTGAACGCCATCCGCCCAATGTTAAACACACAGTGTGGTGAAAACCACACACGCGCGCTCCTTTTAGAGCGTCAATGAATTAAAGGGATTGGTTATCAATCAAAAAGAGTAGGCTATCGATGGTAGGAGGGGAATTGTAATCTTAGCATGAGGATTGCCACGGTCTATAGAAGCCTCCCCTCTTACCATCTGCTTGGTTTTCATTCATATCTTTCCTGATCTTGTTCTTGACATTGGGGCTCGCAACGACGACCTAAGTATCACGGGTATATCAAAATATGAACATTTTAGTCCTGCATATGTTCGTTTTGGGACAAACATTCATAGGATCACTTATATGAGCGGTTGAAAATGATGTTGCCATTTCAGCGTTCACGAAACCAATAATCTCTGGAAAACGCACCTTTTCTACAAGATGAAACACTTACAACTCAGTTGCATAAATTGAAATATATTCAACTGTATGTAACATTTATAGGTCGCCTTTTATTGATAGCATTGTCAGTGGACATGAGCGGTCTTTTTTTGTGAACCTCCTAATAAGTTAATAATCACCCTTCCTCACTCTCTGATCGTTTATAAAAGAATTCAGCTGGGCCAGACGAATGCTCTGCCATTTTTATTGTCCTTTCTTGACTACAATCAAAGTAAAAGAGGGTTACGAGTGGCACTGGCATTTCAGTGGAAACAGTATATCATTTGGCACGTCTACATTCACATGTGGCAGTGTTGCAAATACGGGTTATTTATTGACGCGGAAAGGAAGCTATAGCTAGCTACAATATCAGCAAAGTGACTGGTTTCTTCGCTCAGTTGGTTGAGTGTTTCCTCCCAATTCAACAGTGATCATGTCCTTTAGTGTGTGACGAAGTCTTCTTCATCCTGTAGTGACAGGTAGCTCATGTACTTGTAGGTAGCCATGTGAGGTATTTTAGGAGGTTATATATCGCAGAGCTGTACACTCATCGTTGGCTAGGTTATGGGTGTCTTTGTGTGACGTTGAAATCTTGTGCATGAAGAAGTGTTGACATATATGGAGTTGGGTTAGAAAGGCAGGCATCCATGGAGCCGTCGTCTCCTTCCTCAACTTCTACTCTTTCTGTAGACAAAAAGATCGGTTGATGAAATACAATACGAACTCATCAAGGTTGGACTTCCCTATATAGTGTAAGACAACAGTAGACAAAAGTTTGTGGCTAACTGAGCGGCCATGCAGAAGATGTAAAAGGTTTGACGAAGCGATATTTCATGATCATCAAGAAACAGAAACTATCGGTGGTCTGAGAGTGTATGTAGTTTCCTGCTGATTTGTTTATGAATTTTATCCATCTATCCAGAAATCTGCTGTTGAAAATCTAATAACTCGCCTGTAAGCCTTGAAGGAAGGTTCTTCTTTCTTGACGTCAAACAGTTCTTCGTCTTCTGAGTCCTCCTGGTCCCCCGATAGACTCATGGCCTGCTTACGGTTGGTCTTCAGCTGTTTGGCACCCCGACCCATGGCCCAGATAGGCTTCTGTAAATTTGCAACAAAACAGAATAACAGCCACATACATACAGTATATTAGAGTGGGGTCATTCCTCAAGCTAACCGACATCTAGCACACTGCATCTGGAGTTGCATCGTTCCCGTTTAGAACTTTTATTCAGCAACCAGTTTCATATGCATACCTGATTTTGTCAGCAATTTGATTTAAAAATTTGCACAAGTAGTATAGTGAACACAATAGTTATTGTTAGGTGCCATTGCATCATACATTATGGGTCTATAGGGTTAAAAAGCAATAGAAGTCTACAATTTCAAAACAAAAATTTGAACATTTTAATGATGTTGTGTCACCTTGACTTTCTTCTTGGCCTTCTTGCCAATCTTGGTGAATTTGGACAGCCAGCCATGATCGTCAGTCTGTTTCACTGGAGCACCTTGGCGGCGGGAGTTTAGAGTCTAAAATTAAGGGAGGAAAATCGAGATCACAGTCATTAGTAAACATTACTGGTATCATTTCAGCACCAAGGACAGACATAATACAACATGTTACATCAAATTACCCCAAAAATGCCATGCTACAGCATGTATCCCTTCATCTTTAGCTATAGTATCTGATAGAAGCATGTGGGTGGATCTTTCAGGTGTATAGTTGGCAACATACACTGCAGAGAAATAGAGGGAAAGTTTCACAGAAAACATTTTCAAAACATTTGTTGCCCATCAAAGAGGACCCTAGAGGTTCAGAAGTAACGGTTCAAAGAGGTAAAGAAATTCCTAAACGTCACACTGCGCTTGGAGAAACTGCCGTTACCTTGACGACAAAAGCAATGACGAGCACCACAACAATGCAGGAGAGGGGTAACAGGATAGGCACCATGTACTTCCTCTCTCGGCTGTCAGGCGGCGCTTCTCGGCCCTAGAAGAAAGTGAAGTACACGTTTTGTCTTTGACCTTTTATAACTGTAACAAGAAATTAAACTCGTGTCCACAACTTGTTTAGTTAAAAAGAATAGCTGAATAACTTGTAGAAGATGCTTTGTTGTGTTTAACTCCTTATTGAGTTTCAACTTGACCATTTCACCCAATTTGTTTCGAAGAAAGTTCGACCATGCAGTTTTAAAGTGGACCATCTGCATACACACAAATGTTTCTACAGGTATCAGGTATGTTCACCTTGTTCTTTGGTTTCTTCCCGTGGTGTTCCCTCTTCCTCTCTTCTTCAAGTTCCTCCATGTGGTGGACCTTCGTCTTCAGCTTCCTTACTTTCTCCCTCAGCCTTTCAAAGTCGTCTTCCATCGTTTCTTCTTCCATTCTATGGACGAATGGCAGCCTTGCTTCTTGTTTAGCCATTGCTATACCGTTAGTTGCCTGTATTCCGTGTTGACGTCCATGATGGGATCCTCTTTCGCTCTCATGTCTTTCTGATGTTGTCTTTTTCCAGATGTCGTACAGCCATTCGTTCCCTCCGCGACTTCCATGATGTCCATGATAATTCTCGCTTGTCTGTTCATATCGGCCAGTCTTTCTGCCACTTTCCACAGCATTGTGCATGTTCCTTCCTCCAACAAAAGAACGCATTTCCTTGATTCCCGTCAAGATGTGTTTGATGTTCCTGTCTTGGCTGACGTCTTTTTGATGTGAGTTGTACTGGACGTGCCTATGCTGTGCCCCATGATCTTTGCCATACTGATATTTGTTGGGATAGTTGAGGCCGTATCTGGTAGGGTGTGAAGACAGTCTAGGTGAGTACCCATACATTCCACGTGGTTTGTGGTACTCGTATTTGTAAGGCGGTCGATGGATGGCTGGGCGACTGCGGCTACTGGCTTGGAGTCTACTTCTGCCCAGCTCGTCCAGTTCCGGCTGAAGGTAGTTTCTATTTCTGTTTGGGCTTCCATAAAGTGACTTCAGCACGTTTGCGTAACCTTCCCTCCTTGACTTCGCCCTGTTGTCTCCATTGCGATGTCCGATTCTGTCCAACATACCATACTTTTGACTGGCTGGGGACTTGTTGAAACCAGTAAATGTTGGGTGTTTTTGAGAGCCAAACGGAAACTCCTGTGCATGTGCTGATTTCTTTGAGTCTAACCTAACATAGTCCGGGTGCCACCAAAGTACTGTAGTAGAAGGCTTTTCTTTTTCTATGTCGTTCTCAAAGACCGGCAATTTCATCATCTTGAATACTTGATGAAGCATCGATGTGCGAACGTACTGTGGATGCCACCAGGGGAAAATGGGGGGAGATTTTTCCGACGCCATGTTGGAGTTTAACTCGTTCTGTGCAGGAGCCTTCATCTTGTTGGCGTTCCACCAGGGTAAGGTGTCAGTTTCAGAACTCACACTTTCCTTGCTTTCTGTGCGTAGGAGCCTGTCCTTAACAATGTGCATGAGTTGAGACGGTGTTGTCTTTGTGGGTCCATAGCGTTTGGCAGCCTTTTCTAGTCGTGGAATCGAGGGACTGCTGTGTTTTTTAGATGGCGCTCCATAGCTGACTGACTTCCACGACAGCTTGACTACCGGTGGTGCTTTGTCGTTGCGTGGGGCATTGTCCTTTCTGAAGATTCTGGCATCCGAAGATTCTGAGGAATTTTAAATATGATTGAAATTGTGACAGTTTAATTCCATCTGCCCTAAATGATAACGGTACAATTACATAAAATTACGCTTGTAGGAATAGGATAGGAAAGTACTACTATGTTGACAGCATTTCGTAAATAGAACGTTTTAAAACAAACTTTCTTGTTACGTTACAATCTTGGCTTGAGATTCTTATTGTTACCACATATTAATTATTACCAGATAAATGGATATTCACAATGCACCACAGAAACAATGTTTCTTTATGACTTCGTTGTGATCATAAGAGCATAAACAAATGTTTGTTTGGTTGTCATGGCATACTACCAAAATGAGCGTTTGGGCAGGTATTTTTTCGCACATGGCTTTTTGAAGGTAAAACTGTTAGAAACAGACGTACCTGCTGTGACGCACACGCTCAAACCCCCGTCCCGACACTCTGGTGCCCCGTCCGGCTCAACAAGAACCACGCCCTGTCTCCTCAGCCTCGCTTTCACCCTCACCCATGCGCAGTTGCACGGATCACGGCCGTTCCCAAGGTGACTGGAAGCAACGTAAGACAATTTGAAACCACTGTGGATGGCTCCATTTTGATACTAGTAACGTAATACTATAGGCAATGGTTGCAGTTTTAGATGGGATAAGGGATTGTAAGAAATATTTTGCAAAGGATATATTGAAAAGAAATAGAGGAGTAATAAAAGATGGCTAGATACTGTCACACAACTTTTCCAGTACTCAGAACACGAATCAATCACTGGCGAATGCTTCTAGACTTTTAAGTTAATTTGAAATATTTTTACTCTGATGACAAGTTAGGATGAACTCACATGCGCTTGAGGTTGGGGAGATTGCGAAGCTCTCTGAGAATGACCTCTGGTGGTAGGTCCACATCTACCAGGGACCTGGAGGGTGTAAGTACATTGATAGAACATGCAGAAGACATCCCTTTTTACAATTTGTCAAAGACTAGACACAGTCACTAATCAGAACCAAGGACTGGATATCAGACCAGCAGCAGAATGTGGTAATGGAAAATGAGGACAAATAGATCTAGAATGCTAGTCATAATGATTGACATTTGGGAACACTCCCAACATTACATGCATGGTTGAATATTTCTAACCAACGACTTGCTTCTCACTTTGAAATATCAACAAACTTTCGTCCAAGTTTGACGTGTATAACGATGTAAATTCAAATTATCATCAAGTTTTATAATTATCATCATCATGGGTCGTTAACAGATATATGGTTTCATTGGAAGTTTGAAAAAAAACGCCTTGTCACTTTTCTGTCTACTTACAGTTCCTCCAGACGCGGTAACTGGGCAAAGACATCCGGCTGAACGCCTTGGAGCGGGTTGTCGTCAAGAATACTGCAATACATGAAAGAATGGACCTATTGCATTATTACATCACAGTTTGTTTACCTGTTCTAAAGAACATTCTAGAACGGTCAGTTAAAGAATAAAGATAATTTCAAGTTTTCAAAGTCAGGTATGGATGATTTTTGCTGGGTCTAGTTTTGTTGACACAACATTACATGCTGTAATGGGTGATTTAGTTGTGACAGTAGACGAAAGTAGTACTGAATAAAGGCCTTATATTAAGGCTAACGCTACACAAACACACACCGCGCTATGCACCCCTTTATAATATAAACACCGATTGACCGGCATTCATTGCGGTAAATAACTTATTGAATATGTGAAGTTATGTAAATGTTGATTGGGACTTACAGCGTGGTTAGATGTTCCAGTCCTACCAGTGTGTACTCCCAAATCTTCTGGATAGCGTTGTTACTCAGGTTTCTGAGGAAAAAGTTGAATCAGATTTCGTTAAACTCTTCTATTATTACATATTATTTATATTGAAAATCTAAGCAATGATGGAATGAGGTCTAGTGTATTGCTAAATATATACATTGTAATTTTGAATATATAACAAGTAAGAATGACTTATAGTGTGTTTCTGAAGTTTTCAAATTTGAAAATATCGATTCCTTAACATATTGATAGTAAATCTATAGAAAACAACACACAGTGTCTGGATGTGTTGAAGACCATGTGATGTCAGAAAGGGCGTGTCCTCAGGGTCATCTAAGGTCAGCTCGTTGTGAGACAGATCCCTGAGGAAAAGTACAGTAAAGTTAACATTCAACCTGCTAAGGTAGCCGTTTATATTGGTTATGGGTCAGGTAGCAGGGGAAGGGGTTAAAACACGATTAGAATTTCAACAGAAATGATTTAAATCAAGAAGGTTTAAAATCAAACGTAACAGGTTCATCTATTTTGCGGCCTGATGACTGTTCATTTATCTATCCACTGATGCAAGCTTTCATTGAGAAAAGAAAAGGAACAAATTGAATCAGGCAGATATTGAAATCATACTCACAGAACTTTCAGGTTGGCCAGTGGATCTAACACCCCGGCGGAAAGTTCTTCGATCTTGTTATAGTCAAGAAAGCTGAAAGGAAATGTCATCAGCAAGGTACATGTAATAAGAAAAGAGAATTTGGCCGAAAATCAAATAATCCAAGAATTCAAAAATTTCAGCTCACCGGTATAGTTTAGTTTAGTTTAGGTCATGTTAATTTGATTCTATGAATGACATCTTCTGGGACCCCCAGAACAGATGCCAGCCTGTGAACAAAAAAGTTTGGCTAAAAAAGTTACCTTCATGAGAACACGGATGTCATCAACATAATCAAATCAACATGGCCTCAGTAAACATTACTGGTATCATTTCAGCACCAAGGACAGGTATAATACAACGTGTTACATCTAGCCAAACATATAATCAAATCAACATGGCCTTAATAAAACGCACATGATGTATATGTATGAGTGCAGATGTCTTTTGATCAAGACTACTTGAATGTACTTACAGCTGACGCAGAGAATTCAGTCCTTGGAAGGCAGCAGGAGTGACGACCTTCAGTCGGTTATGTCTCAGGTTTCTAACAAAATAGTAAATGGTCTTAATTTACAAAACATCAACATGAACAAACATGGTACAAGCAGCTTCGTATACATTCTGGGAGCGGTAAATTGTTCTCTTAGCGTGGACAAACTCCCCTGGATTCATCATCTGTCTATTTGACCACTCTTTCTACCCGCTTCCCAAAGCCTGGTACAGGCTAGGTCCTACAGTGTATGTCTAAAAGTCTAAACACTAGAAAAAACAATCCTGGTCATATCATGTTAATGTCACAGACAGTAAATACAGCAGATGTACGAAAAATGCTTAAATGGGATCTAGATATCTTAAAGAGAGAATATCTGGGGAAGTTAGAGACTCACAGCGTTTCCGCTTGGCTGAGCCCGAGAAAGTCCCCATCAGAAATCTTGGTGATCAAGCCTCCCTCGAAATTTCTGGAGAAAGAATGTACAAGTAATGTAACGTTACCTTTGCTAAACTGGCGATTCCACAAAAAAAGGAGACAGTTTAGAGCGTTAAAAAAAAGACAGATGCATCGAAGGTCAAAGATAGATGCATTTAAGGTCTGTCAGTGAATACACAATGATCCTTATGCCCCCCCCCCATGATTGCTCCTTGTTCACTAATTCAAAACGTTCATCCAAAGATCAAAGTCAATGTGCAATATTCAATGAAGGCAACATACACGAGGGAAATCAAGTACAAATTGCGCAATTTGATGATCTGCACTTACAATGTTTTAGCCTGCCGTGCTTCAGGGTAGCTTCCGAGTCTGTCCGGCACTTCTGTGAGGCTCCCCCTGGTGACGCTTTCACTACACTGCAGCGTACCTGGGTTGCAGTCGCACTCAAAGGGGCAGTTTTCTGACAGGGACCGAACTTGTTTTCCCTTCAGGAGTTGAGACTCGTCCTTTTGTGATGAAGCTAGCGGAGGGTTTGGTTCAGACTGCCTGCCTGAATGCCTCTCTGTTGAGTACACGGGCAACAAAGAGCCGAGGACACACAGAAACACAGTCGCGCAGTACAAGGTCTTCAGGCCCATCGTTCGTCCCTGTTGAAAACCTTTCAAACAAGAAGAGAAAAATTCTCTAAAAATGCTTTAAAAAAACAATGTATATGCTGCAGACAGTACTACATAGCAAACACATCAAGACTGGCATTTGACAAACAAAACAGACTTCTTTCGCTGCTACTTAAGTACATGTATATGATGTCCAGCGTTATTGTGAACGGATACCCAACAGTGAAGTCATAATAAGTTACAACACCTCTTCCAATATTATCCGACATTGGTTTGAATGCTCGTTTTAGGAAGGAGAACTTTCATAACAACTTACCTCCGCGCTTCTAGTCTCTCGCACCATACAGTGTCATTGTCCGTCGTTGCCAGGACAACGAAAAGTCACGTGCAGACGATAGTTACGTAATAAAACCTAGCATCATCAGACCGTTCTAGAAATGAGGTTTAATGTGTAGGACCGATGATGGATGAATATATCCCTACTAAATCGCGTTTTCACGTCTCTTTGTCGACAAGGGCGCGGCCATGTTCGTTCTCCAACGATGTTCGAAAAAAAGAGTCAGAAGAACACCGAACCTCTTCGCGCGAAATCGAACAATAACACCAGTCACTCGGGAACAGACAGGAACATGTATTATATTCAACAAAAAGCGATAATGATGAACTAGCCTAGCCTGGAATCTGTCCTGTCGACATTTCTCCATCACTTTTCAACGTGTGAGACGATTCGCCTTGACCTGTACAATTGGTCTATAAATCTAAGACTTATATACACTCTTCGTAGCTACATTTCTATTGTTAGGGTTGGGTTGGGTTGGGTTGGGTTGGGTTATGGTTAGATGGCGTCATCTTGAGTAATCTCCAAGCAGATTCTGTGGGGCTAGGGGAGTCTGTTTGGCCATCTGTATCCACTGGCTTCCTGTATCAAATCATTGACGGCCGGTGGGAGACCAATGGATTCTGTGGGGGGCACCTTTGTCCCACACTGTGCTAGAAGATTAGCGGCAAATGGTCTTGGCGGCTAAACGTCTAGAGACCGTATAACATAACAGGTGTTATTTTCTGTTTACCGTCACACACACGCGCGCGCGCGCGCACAGGCGCAAGTTCCCACAACTGTACACACAAATAAAGTGCTCGTACGTGCTTGTAGCATCGGCACAACAAGGAGCGGACCGATATAAACATTACTGATAAAGATAATCTGGTTGAATTCACGCGGCAGCCTATCATCACATGAAGGGTCCCGTAGAGGAATCATAATAACTATCCCGTCATGCACTGCGCAAGAGCAAACAAAACTTTGACCACTTGTGTGGAAGACCCACAGAAATGGCGTTATACGAAGTTGCACTGCTGCTGCTGCTTGTGTCGTGTGGTTTAATGGTTACAAACACAGCATCAGCCGCCACATGTGACCAGACAGGGCCCTGTACGTGCCGTATGAGTGACGGGACGGGAGAGATAGACCTCAGCGCCCTGGCCTCTTCTGACAGCGCCCTACCAAAGTAAGTACGGTAGCTGCTTGTTTGGTTGGTAATGACCGTACTTCGATCTAGTCAGATTTAACATGTTTAGATGTAACAAACTATAACATCAGAAATGTGAGATAATTACACAAATATTTTGAAAAATGGAAGTAATTTACGACCACAGGATTTTTTCAATTTTTGGTAGCAAAAATGTTACATCATGCCCTTAAATGCTAAGTTGCAATCTCTACCTAGGTTTTAACCATTGTTTCTACTCCTCAGGTTTGAGAACGTGAACTCTGCCAGTGATGACTACGTTTACTCCTACAACCCCTGTCAACCCTTCACACAGGGCACCTGCAAAGACGTCTCAGTATGTTATCATAATATTTGTTGTATTATATAATTTTTGACAATATCACTGTTGGACTGTATTCCCTGTGTTCCATATCTTTCAGCTTCATATACAAGAACATTGAAGACTAGGTGTGTACCACTAGTATCTATGGTCTCCATATTACAAATCAAGAAACTATTTGATTGACATACAAATGTATGATATTAGCAGGGAAGATTGGAGCATTAGGCAAAGCCATTGTCCTTTTCTGTCAGTTTCCTTGTAGTAAATGTAGTAAACCACATACTAAACGTGTTACAGGCATGCCAGTATGTGCCTCAGCTCAAGACATACTTCCCACTGGGAACCCAAGACTCTGCCAAGTTTATCCAGGAAGGACAAGACTTAACCCTCAGATACTTCGCTGGACAAGGCTCCTCCAGGAGGTAGGGGGCATTTTATAGTTAGGTGCAGACATTGTTGCAGTATCACTATGTACATTCATATTAATATCATCTATGACAGTAATGTAGAGTGCTTTTTTCTATGTCATATACTATTGTTTGGCATTGTCAGATACAATGTATACATGTAAGGTTACTAGTATTACAGATATAAGAAAGTCATTGTTATACATAGAAACTCAACACAGCAGTATTGATTTTAAATCACAGAAAAAAAATCAATGTAGTAAGCAATTATTTGTGGCTAGATATAGTTATTTTAGTGTCCAACAGACAGTGCATGTCCAATGTTCAAAACAGATTAGAACTTGGGTGAGTATAAAACTATCCCAGTTTGACCAGGCCCAGAAAAATCATAGCAGTCAGCTAGTTCTGGGTTGTGTGCCACGGCTGGGGAATCATGTTGTATTGATGTGAAGTTGTTTGTTTGTTTACAGGGAGACTAAGGTGAAGCTTGTGTGCGATCGTGGAGAGACCACCTTCACAGCAGAGGGGCAGGACCCGAATGTCATCAACCTTTATGTAAGGCAACTTTTTTCTCTACATTCTTAAATAAACATGTAAGGGCCACCCTACTCATAGCCTTAAACCATTAACCATGCAAACAGTCATAATTTCATAGAAACAGCCAACTGTTTGGGATAAAAAAAGGTAAAGATATAACCTTTCTGAGGCCATAGGGACTAAGGGTTGTCAATCCACTGAGTTCGGTATTGGAAGGAGTCCTCTTCTTCCACCTCCCGAACAAGCCAGGTACAACACATTGTACACCTGGGTGGAGTGAGGAAAGTCATGTAAAGTGTCTTTCCCAGAAATGCCAGGAACCGAACTCTTGACCTCTTGATCTTGTATCTGCTAGCCTAGCCACTTGGGCATTTGTCAGATGAGAGTCAACCCCCTCGGCATCTGTAAGCCTCTGCTAATAGACAGTAATTTGACTGACAGACGATGATTGTGTTTTTCAGCACTTCATCCTGAAGTCACCCTGTGCATGTCCAGGTGGCTGCAATAAGCCCAGTAATGCCACCTGTCAGCAGGTGGACAACTGCAGCTGTAACATGACAGATGGGAGCGGCATGGTGGATCTGCACAGGCTGGGGAGGAAGGACGGACCTGCGTGAGTAGTACTGCAATCCTCCACTTCACTGTTACATCACAGACAACGCAGCTCCAGCATTGAATTTTGTTTTACATCCAATCTCCTAGATTTTCCTAAAATCTACCAAAAATAAATGATTCTGCCCAAAAGTTTACAAAAGGATTGTTTAATTCAACACTTCAAGCCCACACAATTCTATTGACATTCCCATTGTCTGAAGTGTGCTTGGTAATTGGTATTTGTGTTAAAGTGTTACAATCAGTATTATAAAATGATGTACACATACCTGCAGGTTTCGTGACATCCTGAGTCCCAGTGAGTTCTCGGACTTCTACTCCTACAACCCCTGTTACCCCTTCTCGCTGGGGTCATGTCGGGATGCAGCGGCCTGCGTTAGTACGCAAACACACGGCGTACACATGGAGAACTCCCTCGGGAGTCAGGACAGGGCAGCGTTCGTCAACATTGGCTCAAACCTGTACATTGCGTATGGAACAGACAGGAACGACTCTAAAGGGTACAGAACATTTGTACATGGTCTTATAGTTTACTCTCCATGAAGTTACATTGATGCTTGTGATCATAAGTCTTGGATTTGGTTTACTGGGTAAGGGTCATAAGATAATGCAATACTGTATAGTCATCTACACTTACGTGTTGTGCCGGTAATTTGACACTTGGCTTTTTTAAAGTGTCTGACACATGGCAAGCTGTTCACAAGGTTTTATAGTACATAGTACATGACTTTGACTCATTTGTGTTTGTTTGTTTGTTTGTTTGTTTTATCAAGACCTCCATTAGTGAGGTCATCTAGATCTAGAGAACACTTTTACATCTAGAAAACACTTTTCTTCCTGGAGACCAAAACAGAATACATGTAAAATGAATGAAATGTAACAAAATTATACATTAAGTAAGCAGAACAACTAAAACTGACTGAAGTACAGTGGAATACAGTGTTTGTATGGTATATGTTTTCCCTAGACTCCTATCTTTAGTCCAGCTGGTGTGTGATCGACATCAGGAGTCCTTTGAAGCCCAGGGACCAAACCCACAGATTACGGGACAGTATGTGAGTCAACCAGTGTACTTGGCTCGAATAGAGATGACTGTTTCACTGTAGCATTGATATCATCCTGTAATAAACTATAGGTATATATGGCTTAGTTGGGGGATAAGTGGTTGGATGAATAACTGTTCTTTTAAGTTCAGTCTCAACTAGTTTGATGTGTATCTTTTTACCTGAGGAAAGAACATAGTCAGCATTCCCAAAAAGTAGGCTAGTTTTCATAAGGTTAGGCTACACCATTTTAATCAAGTTCTTATCAGAATCAATTAATTTTCAACAAACTGGTACTGTACAACTGTAGTACAAGGATGAGGCTGGTTGTCTGTGGTAGATTTTTTTCTCACCCAGGCCTATATTTTCTCATTGCTTTTCATTTTTCTAAAAAGTCTGAGAACCAACAAATTAAATCGGTGTGGCCCTACACATGATGTACAATATATTGCCAAGCAGAAAACAGGATCACACTACTTACACTGATAAATATTTGTCTTCCGGCAGCTCTTCACCCTAAGAAGTCCCTGTGCCTGTCCCGGGATGTGTGAAACACCTGTAACAGCCCCACCCCCTCATACCACAGCCCCCCTCACACCCGTCACTGTGCCACCCCCTACCCCCAACACCACCAGGCCAGCCCAGGCAGACTGTGTACAGTATAGCAACTGTGCCTGCATGTTCCAGAACAGGTCCTACATTGACTTAACAAACCTGGAGCAAACTTCAGGGGAGCCACTGTGAGTTGGTTTGTTTTGCAAAACTGGTAAACTATCCTATGGTATTATAATAATATCATACAAAATAAATCTAGATAAATTCTCTATTGCTTATTTTGTACTGTCTATTTGGGTATTCAATTATATGCGTTCTGCCAAAGTTCTATGCACAATACATTATGGGTTTTGCGCAGGTGCAGTACGTTCTGCTGACATGCTATACATACATAATTACTGTATCATAAAAAAAGTCATTCTGGTAGGTGCTTTAAATAATCTGTGTGTAAAATGTTTGTTGTTTATCATTTTGTACACAGGTTCAAAGACCACCACCTGTCCCCACCCCGACATGAAGATGGTTTTTACTACTCCTTCAACCCCTGTGTTCCCTTTACTGAGGGGAAATGTGAGGATGTGGCAGTAAGTCATGGTTTTACCATTCGCTGCTTAAACAGAAGAACACAGTCAATCGCAATCCGGTTTAGCGTCTGCTGTTCCCCGTCTTCCGAGGGTTAGACGTGCTTGCAGAACAAACAAAAGACGTACAAACTTTTTGCAAAATTGCTGTCAATTGAAATGCCCCTTTGAGATCGACTATAATATGGGGTATATATACATGTTTAGTGGTTATCACTTTCAGTTTAAGTCAGAAACATATATGTAAACTTCTTTGCAGAATTTTCCTGATAATTTAGATAGAACTGAATGTCTTTGGAAGGAGAACATATTTGTATATATATAATGCCTTCCAAGACAGCTACATGTAGAATACATTGCTTGCTTGACAAATAATCTGAACATACAGTTCTATTCTTCAAAATCACCAAAGTTTCTAGCCTGTTTCAGAAGAGTTTAGTAAACTGCAAATTGACTTCCCAGGTTTGCAGAAGGAGCTCCCTGAATGGGTCAGAGGTCAGTCTGGGGAAGCAGGACTCCTCTACATTTGCAACAGCCAATGACAACGGCCCTGTGTCCATCGTGTATGCCTCTGAGGACAGGCAAGTCTGTTTAGCACAATAACATTTAACTTTTTTTCAGTTTATAAGTGATAATTCAATTTCACTACTTTCTTTTCCTATTCTTTGTCATGCTGTAAGATACTAGTAGTTGTAGCTGTGCAATTTTTTTCCCTAAAGACAAGCTATTTGTTCTAATGGGCAAATTTCTATAAGAAATACATTACATTACATGTATTATGTTTCAACAATGTTGTACTGTGTATTTAGAAGAAACCTATTACAACATTGTTGAAGCATATCAGGGCCCCACATGGAACATTAGTAGTCCATCATTTAATCAAAATAAATAATACCAACCTGCATCTTCAACAGGACGTCCATTGTGAGTCTACGCTGTACAGAAGGGAAACGAAACCGGCTCATTGTGCTTGGTGCAGACCCAAATGTGCCCAATACTTATGTAAGTCTGTTAGTCATAATGCCAGTGGTTGCTATTGCCTCATTCTCTATATTTACCAGTATGTCATCTTGGAAATTGTCACATCAAAAATTCCCTGAGAGATGCCCCTAAGGGAATTTCATTGAAGATAAGAAGTGCTTCATATCTGTACAGCATTGCCATTGGGATAAGATTGAAACAAGGCTTTAAGCACAATTTTACGTAGTGAAAACTTGGCCGCATGCTTTACCACAGTTGAGGGTGACAAACAATAGAACTTGAGCCACCATTAAGACCAAATTTAACTGTACCAAGGACATTATACTTCTGTATGTCCTTGACTGTACCAACAAAAAGTTGATACATATACTGTATTTCTTTCTGACAGGAGTTTATACTGGAGAGTCCTCAATGTTGTTTGCACAAAGGTGGAACTACAGCGGTGAGGGGGAGTCTGATGTGGACTATTTGGTGAGTGGTATCAAGACTTTATATTATCCTTACATTAACCATGAAAATGTTTCCTGTGATGTTTCCTGCTATATCAGTAGTCTGTCACATTAACTTTTTTGTCTCTTCTTTATTCTCCAGTGCCTTAACATTGCTGTTGGTGAATAGATGGAGATGAGACCTGTTCAAGACCTTGCCATATTAAATCTGAAGCACTATTCTGTCAAATTCAATGGACAATGGCGACCATTCGAATCTGAAATTGTTTGAGGAACATGGTGTGATAGGATGAAGCCATAAATATTCTTTCCACAATCTTTTCTATCAAAAACTGATGACTCAAACTTGATGTTTAAAAATAAAGTCGTGATAAGAAGTACAAGTTGATACAATGTAAGCCTGTCCGTTTATTGTATGATGTAAGTCTAGAGCCCTATTATGAAAACAACCAACTGTAGAAATCACTTAAGTTTTATCTCACAGCACTGTTAAAACCTGCCAGGACTATCAAATGAAGACAAACTCAAGGTCTTTTCCAGTGACCACAGGGTTTATTTTGGAACATACATCGGAGAGACAAACATGTCTTGTACAATCTGGATTTGTTCACAACAAAAGCAGGACTCTCCTCTAAATTGGACTTATTACTCTGGACTTCTGACAGAAGAAGATAAAATCCTTACTATCAACTTCTTCATTCGTTGGACACAAACTTCAAACGGTGAGAAAAAGATATTCTTGGGGTTGCTTATAATTGTTCTAAATAGAGGTTGAAGCTAGATTTTACATTTCTTCTGCAATCCTGTCTGCCTTCTCCACGGCTTCCTCAATGGTTCCCACCATGTAAAAGGCGACCTCGGGAAGATGGTCATATTCACCTGCAGTCAGAGGAGAGAAACGTATTTAAAACTCTGTTCTATTTACAACATATTTTCAACAGAAGAACATTATGAATTAGAAAAAAAATGAAACAGTGACTACAGCAAAAGGTATGTAGTTCCAATACAGTTAAAAGTCAAATACACTATAATAGTACAATTTAACTATGAGGACAAGAAACAATCACAATGTGGACTCACCATTCATGATTCCCTTGAAGCCCTTGATGGTCTCCTTGAGTGGAACCAGCTTGCCGAGATGGCCTGTGAACACCTCTGCCACCTTGTTGAAAATCAGAACATTGTACTTTGTGCTTTGTACTTGAGAACAGACTCAAAATATAGTAGGACTACTGCCACACAAGTATGCAATGGACACAGAGACACGAGATATGTTAACACAATGAATACTACACTGGGACCTACCTGGAAGGGCTGTGACAGGAACCTCTGGATCTTACGGGCGCGAGCCACGGTCATCTTGTCCTCTTCTGACAACTCATCCATACCCAGGATAGCGATGATGTCCTGCAGGGACTTGTAGTCCTGGGAGGGAAGCAAGAAACTAGTGTTAGCACAAATGTCTGTATACTGGACTTGGTTGTAATCTAGTGTAACACATACATGGCTGATATTTCTACAGAGACCAAGTCTGAAAAGCACACACCTGTAGGGTTTTCTGCACACTACGAGCGACGGCGTAGTGCTCCTCTCCTACGATGTTGGGGTCCAGGATACGGGATGTGGAGTCCAGGGGGTCGACAGCGGGGTAGATACCCAGCTCAGCGATACCACGGGACAGTACAGTGGTGGCGTCCAAATGAGCGAAGGTGGTGGCAGGGGCGGGGTCAGTCAAATCATCAGCTGGCACATAGATAGCCTGGAAGTAAAGAAGCAACCATGTATGTTAGAATACTTTTGATAGTAATTATTCTGCTTTTTCTAGCATGGAAATATTTGAGTCGAACTATGCAACTGAAGATGCATTTCCACTCATCTTTAAATTGATGATAAAACAGGTCAGACATCCAGGTAATAAAATATGCTAAAAAAAGTTCCTCAAGCAATTTACTGGATATGATTTTGGAAATAGACATTTCAGGTAGCATCCACTACTATCGTCAGTGACAGTGAAGAAAGTATGACACAGTAATGACACTGTCACTGATGTAAGGTAGTTGATGCTACCTGAAGTGTCTGTTTCTAAAATCATATCCAATCAATTCAATAGGCATGAATAAGAAAAGTTCTGTTTTAGTGACAACACCTCACCTGTACAGATGTGATGGAACCCTTCTTGGTGGTGGTGATGCGCTCCTGCATGGTACCCATGTCAGTGGCCAGGGTGGGCTGGTAGCCTACAGCAGAGGGGATACGGCCCAGCAAGGCAGACACCTGGCGGCAAGTTTGTACAGAAAGGTCAGTATTGATACAAAGGATATCGTGTTCAAAACTTACATTTTAGAACACTGCAAGCATTACTAGAAGAACTAGTTCTGTATACACAGTAGGTACTGTACCACAAAAATTGATTTGGTACAGGTCCAAAAATACTTAATCACTAAGTAACAGTACTTTACCTCAAGTTACACTAATTAAATGCTTGTAAGTGGCCTAAAATTGGTAAATGGCTAGTCCCCCATGGGTTCCAGAGACAGGAAAGTGAGTTCTTGTTACAGATTGACAGTGTTATTAACTACCCTGGAAACGTATACTACTTTAAAAGAACATCATCCACAATTGTTTTAAGGATGTTTAAGGGTTGGTCACAGATGAGAAAGTTGATAATGTCATCAATGACTGAGCCCTGACCTCTGATCCAGCCTGTGTGAACCTGAAGATGTTGTCGATGAAGAGCAGCACGTCCTGTCCCTCCTCATCACGGAAATACTCAGCCACAGTCAGCCCTGTCAGGGCCACACGGGCACGGGCACCCGGCGGCTCGTTCATCTGACCGTACACAAGCGCCACCTACAACAACAGGATCAAACACTTCAATTCTCAGTTTTCCTTTCCCTTGCACAACCCATACCTCAGTAGTGTAAAGCTGGAAACTGTTCAAATGATTGATTGTATGAAGGCATGAACTAAAATGATTGAGTGAAGAGACTCTTTTTACACAACCAAGGATTTTTATTCAGATTACGTTTCGGTAACGGTCTGTCACCTTCCTCAGGGCAAATTTGACTGGTTCACATTGCACAGCACAGGTGACAGATGGTCACCAAAACTGAATAAACCTCTTGTATAAAAGAGCCTCTTTATTCATTGACTAATGCTAACCTGATGAAACTATTCACGGATGAACTACAACAAATAGGAATTACTGCTAACATTTTTACAGTCAGTCAAGAAACAGAGCTGGTAGATGATTTGTAAAAAAAAAGAGCAAGATGCACCAGACCTTGGACTTGTCTCCCTTGAGGTCAATGACACCGGACTCAATCATCTCGTGGTACAGATCGTTGCCCTCACGCGTGCGCTCGCCTACACCAGCGAACACGGAGTAGCCGCCGTGGGCCTTGGCAACGTTGTTGATCAGTTCCATGATCAGTACAGTCTTGCCGACACCGGCGCCACCAAACAGACCTGGACAGAATTACAACAGAATGTTTTTTAACTCCAAAAAACCTTTTTTGATTTCAACTGTTTAAGTGGATAAATGCCATACAACATAACATCATGTTAATACATGTATTGTGTCCTTAAGATAGTCTACGTACCGATCTTGCCACCCTTGGCGTAGGGAGCCAGAAGGTCCACCACCTTGATGCCAGTCTCCAGAATCTCCTGCTCTACACTCATCTCCACAAACTCGGGAGCATCAGCGTGGATGGCTGCAGTCCTGGTGAAACATGGAAGCCCACTTAACGAAGGCCTACACATAGCTTCTATAAAGTTTAACATAACATTTTTATGGCAATACTGAGGCCACAAGTCAGGAGAGTTGGGATGGTAACAGTGCAAGGAAAATATGTCTACACAAATCCTCTACAAGTATGCACCAACTAACCCCCTTCTTACAAGCACAAATATGATATTCTAAAACAGTAGCATCTACATTTCTTTTAATACAATGTATTTGCAATGAGCTATTGTTCTATTGTAATTACATACTTCTTGGAGTCGACTGGTCCTCTCTCGTCGATGGGTTCTCCGATGACGTTGATGATTCTGCCGAGCGTCTCGGGGCCGACGGGGATCCTGATGGGAGACCCCACGTCTGTGCACACCTGTCCACGCACCAGACCCTCCGTACCGTCCATGGCGATCGTACGCACCGTGTTGTCACCTGTTGGGAAGAGGTGCAATTAATTACCCTCAACTTTCATCTAGAAGTATCACTGCCATGACTTGCCATAGTCCATACAGATCACCACCATGTTGCAGCAAATTACAAAGAATAATCATTTAGATGCAATTTACATTTGAACATGAGAAGACAAAAAGATGAATTTCTTTCACAACAAAAGAAACCAATTTCACTGCAAGACTTTCCATAAACCTGCAAAGAAAGAAGAAAGGCTCCAATACTCACCCAAATGCTGTGCTACCTCAAGGATCAGTCTGGGTGATCTGTCAGCGACCTCCAGGGCATTGAGGATTGGTGGCAGGCCACTGTCAAACTGCACGTCCACCACAGCACCGATAACCGCAACGACCTGGCCCTTAATGGGCTCAGCCTTGGCAGCAGCTTCAGCAGCATAGGTACGTCCTGGGGAAATCAGGTTAAGATACGGTTAGGATACACTTTATTACAGTTTTTCTACTTCATGAAGGAATAGACAAACTTGAAGCAACCTAGAACCATGGAGTTGTGGCTACATATGGAAGAAGTAATTTCTTGATACCTCAAAACTTTCAGACTTATGATCAAAATTTGTTAATAGAACTGACAACATCAGAAAAGACCACATGCAATTATCTGAGTAGTTTTTGATGGGAGGCCCAAACCAGGGATTTGTCCAGTGTTGTATAGAATTAGAAGTAGCTTAGGAGAAGTATTAATGGAAAACAGAAGGTGTTTCTTAATAGGAAAATGACCTTCATATTTGTTGACCAGAAACAATTATATTTTGTTGATAAGAGATTTCTGTTGGCAACTTAAATGACAAAAATATACAAAATAAGACGTAAAAGACAAAAAATATTTCAGTCTCTTAACAATGCTTGGGTTAGAAAAATACCCAGTTTCGTCAAAACTCCTTGAACACTGACTAAGTGATATTGCCCCCCCCCCCCTTAACAATGTGACCTTCGATTAGGGGGATGGGGGGTGGTGGTCCACTGGGCCTAATTTGCGATTTGGGTCACTATTTCCAAGACAAATTGTGACACATTCGGGCTGAAAAAGGCGCATAACTTGGAAGAGAAACTGACAGCTTAAACGTTTTAATAATTTCCTGTAAAACATTGATATAATTTTTTTCAACGACTACGTTCGAAACGGACATGTGGGCAACACAATCAACCTACCGGCACGGCACGAAAACGAGGCTCCCCATATACCTCCACAAATTCGAGCTTTTTTCCATAAAAATCCGACATTACATCAATTTTGGTCCGACAAATAGAAACTTAGAAACATATAGCACGTTACTGAGCTAGCTATTTGTAATCTCATCGGAGAATTAGCTTCTGTGCATGACAATAAATTAGGGTGCTTCCGCGACATGGCATGACCGCCATTTCAAGTGAACTGCCCTTCCCGCAAGGGCAAAGTTTAGGACCAAATTTAAAGAAAATTTCGACAAAACAACACGTGAAAATCCACTCACTTGAGTACGAACACGCTGGTAGTGTTCTCAGGAGCGGTTTGGTGACTATAGTGCGCTTAATGGCGGGTTGCAAGGCCCGAAGGCCCGCCGTACAGATTCCCCGAGCTGCCGTCCGCAACATGGCTGACTGGTGAAGGAGACCGAACTGCACACTGGGTAAAATCAATGGCTTGGACTACTCGATAAACCGAAATGGGGATGTCAATTTTTCCTCAATATTATAAAAGCCACTGTAACTCATAAATGTTCCATGATAAACATATGATATTTAAGATTATGCCTTTTACTAAGATTCGGGGTCTATACTTACCAAAATGTTGATGCATTCTGTTCTTTGGACGTGTTTTAACTTTGAAAAAGTAGAATGGTAGCGGCCAATTCAATGCACGTCCAAAAAGTCCCGGATGTTGGCCATTAGGCACCTGTTCACCTGTTCATTGCAAAGAGCCGCCAAATAGTTTATCCAATCATCAGCAATGGCTGTTGCGGGCGATGGTTTCACATACCGACGTTCAAATATGACTATTACACGATATGGCAGAAATAATGACATAAAGAGAAATAAATTTCCTTCTTTCCTTCGCATCGAGAGCCAGTCATAAGTGGAATAACTTTCAAAGTAACTGTTACCGTAAATAGGTTCCCCTTATCCCTGTGACTACTGACGTGTTACGATGTTATTGGAAAACTCAAAGGCGCTCCGATCCGTATCTCTAGATGGTGACAGGTCAATTATAACAGTTCAAAAGGTTAATGTAACGGTTCTGCGAGCAATTTCCCAGTTTGGGCGCCAAAATTCTTCAATTCGTGGCTCGGCAAACTGTAAACAACGAAGTCCACTGTTACAAGCCCTAGAAGTACATGTATGTGTCCAGTAGCCGATTTCTTTAGCTATTATTGATTGTTTCTTGCTCTGTGACATCTTAAATTAATGTGGATATATCGAATTATTCAAAGTGTTAATAAGTCCCTACAAAAAGTGCTATAGAGCTGTAACTTATATTTAGCAAGATGGGAAAACGATATAACGTTAATAACGCATTTATTTTGAGCCAAAACCACTGCAAAGTTTTGTTCTTGAACAGAAAGTAGGGAGAAAACGAAGCTTAATTCACTGACAGATCTCTGACCTAGGTCATGATTATAGTTTTTTTTAACCTTTTCTGTGTTTCTTGTCTTTTATATCACACTTTTCGTTAATTCTTGGAAGTTGTGTCTTAAATACTTAATAGGGTTTACAATACAGGCACTACTAACATGTGATTACAGCTATGGCAATGATTTGCACTATTCAACTATGTCAACACAAAGCATTTCCTCACAAACTAAAATCAATACAAAGTTACGTCTTTCACAAGAAGAACAATGTACAGCTGTATATATGAAGACTATCTGAATATATGGTGATAGCATTAGCATGTTAACTCATGATCAGATACTCAACATGGAATGATACAAAATGGAATTAAATTTTAAGTCGGGGTTTTCCTGAACACACCCCAAGGTTCTCTAATCATCTCAAGCTTTGTTCTTGCCCATAGCGAGGCATGCCACAATGGTAACCATGGCAATAAGGACAGTGATCAGGATGACATTTCCCAGTGCCATGACAGCCCTGGCTGCCCACATGACCCTCCCCACCGCACCGCTCAGAACCATCCCTATCTCCATGACAATGGCCCCAAACTCGTCCCCTTCATCCACCATGTCCTGTAGGTAGCTCATGTGTTGGGCCCAGGGGAGGGCGAAGGTCTGGAAACATACAGGGGGAAATGTGAGAAACTCTATCTCCAATTTTAATAGCTGACATGCATTTTTCTTTGGCAAAAGGTAAAAATGGAATGAAAGAGTAAATCCCAGGGTAATGCATTGATCTTCTCAATCTTTTAAAACAGGTGTCAACTTCAATTGTCTTTCTCAACAATGGCAGCGTGTTTCATAATATGTTGCCTGTGTTCACAATGAAAGAAGAAGCCATTTTCTGTTATAAGCAGAGAGGTTTTGAAACCAACAGTACTAGTATTAATGCTCAAATAGAAGACAGAAAGATAAGAATCCAAAGTGTTTTTACGAGTACCTTGACAATGGATGTAGCAGTGTCGGACCGCTGCATCAGCCACACGATGGGGTTGGCCAGGGTGTGGTACCCCTCCATCACGTGTGGGAACTCTGCAGCTAGCTGGCGACCAAAGGCGGCGTCAGCCAGGTAGGTCTGGGCATCCAGGTGACCTGTAGGGTCAGAGACGATTGTACTATCTTGTCAGATCTGACAAACACTCGAGATTTGTGTTTGTGTGTGTGTGTAGGTGTGTGTGTGTGTGTGTGTGTGCGTGTGTGTGTGTGTGTGTGCGTGCGTGCGTGCGTGTGTGTGTGTGTGTGTCTGTGTGTCTGTGTGTCTGTGTGTGTCTGTGTGTGTGGAGGGTGTTTCAGGTGTATTAAAGCCTCAGATGCCAAACATTTGCACACAAAAAAGAACCCAACACACTTATCAGGAGGAAGAGTAGAGATGACCAGCTGTGCTGGGCTATCAACATAAAAGCGAACTGTGGCATAGCCGCACTGCACTGTCAGCAACCGAAAAAGTATTACATTATACTTTATCTTAAACTAACGCTTTAAGTTCGATGGAAGAAGAATGATTCTTGCAATTGGCTACTGATAATGGAAGTAAAGTCTTTAGCAAGATAAATCTGCCACCGCGGGTGTTATCGCGAAGTCCCTTCACGGCCGTGGATTTCACCACCAAAAGTGATCAATTCCACGGTCTATGGAAATAGTTAAAAATTCTTACCTTGGACAAAAAGTTCAGTGCAGATGATCTTGTCATCGCTTATACCCTTTGCAGCAGCAGTGCCACAGGATCCTGCAATACCGAAGGCGCAAGGCGAAACGCACGAAGCTGCAGAGATGCCTGTGTGCAAAATGATATTACATATGTACATTAATTTTAGAAATACATGTAGCTGTACGCACTCCATTGTCAAAACAAAATGTAGTCACCAAAAATCAGAACGGCTAGGAGCAAACGGTCATCCTTAGATATCAAGGATTCAAATTGTCATACTTGACACAGATCGTATAATATACCAGTTTCTTTAAAACGAGTAATTTGATTGTCGTCTAGGATTATATCTCACCAAGTGTGAAAATTCCCAGGACTGCGATACAAACACTACACCCAACAGTGGTGCCAACACATGTTCCGATAGCAACTGCGGTATCCTTGGACAACAGTAGGCGGCGGCGGCCACCCTGCAAAAGAAAGGAAAAGACCAAAATGTAATATCAATTTTTAAAAACATACGAGCTCTGTCTGACAAATAATAATCACTGGATTGTTTGTCAGAAGAAAATGTCATGAACTGGTAAGAGAAAGATGCAGTATATGCATAAAAACAAATACATGGGCAGACCTGATCGGAAACAGGATAGGTGACGGTCTGCACGCATTCCATGTTGTCACTGGGATTGGTGCTTGGCGGGCAGAGCACGTCCAGCGTCACCGGACCTTCCGGCTTGTCACAGTTCATCTGCAGACTGTAGCCGTAGTTAGTTGATACTATGAACACCTCTGGAAACGTGTCTTCCGTGAAGTTATGTTCCATCTGCATGTACGTTGCAGGATCCGTAGCGTTGATGGAAAACTGGAAAATTTAACACAATAGGTTTAGTATTAATTCTACGACGGTGGAGAATTCCTTAGCAACTGATTTAAAGTGGAAAGATGTCACAGAACATACTATGGAAGCCTTCATATACCAGTAGCACATATAGTGAACATGGTCGTAGATACAGCTATCGTTGTGACCTAATAATGGCTAACATGATTTTCATTCTTTTTAACCAGAAAATATAGATAACAGTCTATTATTACCGTCGAGTTGCGACAGTCGTCTCCAGCCAGCGCCTTCAGTGCCATGACATCAGACTTGTTGAAGATGGAGGCAGACGACGTTGCAGCGGACATCACAGCAGACATGGACGCTATGTCAGAAGAAGGTACCTCCCTCCTGCCGCTCTCCTGGTCAGACTCATCCTCCACGTGAGATACCTTCGACAATCCGTCGAGAATCCAGGACCCTGTTATGGCGACCGTGACCTTGCTGGTATCTGGAATACGTGGAGCGACGAACGAATGCAGGTAACCTCCAAATGCGCGGGTCCTTGTGGAGTCGATCGCCAGCCTGCCGGACAGTCCGTTCTGCCATTCCGCCTCGCGGGTCAGGTGTACAAGAACCGTCGGAGCATCGGTGGTGCGCACGATCTGACATGTGTCGTAGATCAGGTTGACTGCGTCGTAGGCCAGCGGAGCATACACGGGAGGCGAGCGTTTCAGGCGGTCGGCTAGGGTCTGCATCTTGCGCATCCTTCGTTTGCTGTGAAGCCCCTCCCCTGCAAAAACCAGTCCGTACAGGCTTACCGTCTGTGCTGACAGCTTTGCGTCATCAGAGCTCAGGATGTCCTCTCGCAGAGCCAAGGAGTCCCCGGTGTACCACATACGACTCAACAGAACAGTGTCATTGTTGGCTGCTTCCAGGATGTACCTTGCTTCAGAATGCGACACGAGCAGGACGACTGCGTCCGGGTTGTCCCTAAGGGAATCGCGGAGTTGGTCAGTGAGACTTCGTGCTTCTTCCTTGTTGTTGATGGTCCCCGGCGCGTAGCTGATATTAGTACCGACTGTAATGTTGTCAATCGTACCGTCCGCAAGGTCGCGAATCCTCTGCACCAGGTCTGTAGCGTAGATGTCCTCGACGTGTACCGGGATGACGACGGAGACGTTGTCGCTTTTTAGCTTCAGGTACAAGGCCAGGGCAAGAGGTTGGTTGCCCTTGCTGAGGCGTATGGTATTTGTGGCGTTGGCCAAGCGTTCAGATGTTGCTCGTGGTGAAATGAAGACCGCGTCTGGTGCGTTCACCGTCGCCCACTCCGCCACATGGACCGCATGGCTGCTGGTTTGGGGACCCACGAACAGACGCACGCCCTGTCGGTTGTACAGGTCACGGAAAGCTTGCAGGGCTCCATCTGAAGATCCATTGTAGTCTACGCTGTGGACCTGGATGTCCGGAGCTGACGGTACCTTCTCCCGATGGGCACGGATGTCATCCACGGCCAACATCGCCGCTTCCTTCAGGGCCTCCGCTGCGTCGTTGTCGGTTAGAAACAGTACACCGACCCTAACGATTTCCTCTGTCATTTTGATAACGATACAAGATACGTATATTAGATGATTGCTGTTTTTAGTTTCTCAAATTTCCTAGCCTCTACCCGGCTTCCGGGGGCTACTGGAGAGAGTATAAATTGGCCAAATAGAGAGATAATATGCCAGGGTGCGACAAACTGTACTCTCCAGCGGACCAACTTCCCTGGCATGTTATCTCTTTATTTGGCCAATTTCTACTCTTTCCAGGCGCCCCAAAAGCCGTCGAATGCGCACGGTTTTCAGAAGACACAATGTCACAAAATAAGTATACAAACGTTAAGAAAAAATGTTGGAATCAAATAGGTTCTGAAAAGGTTCGTCCAACCTTTTGATTCGTTGCATCGTTGTACTGTCAAGCCAACGGCGAGGCCGATCACTACGGCCAGCACGGCTCCGCCTGCCACCACCCCGATCAGTATCCGGTACCTTAGCTTCAATTCCCCACCACCTGCCATTCTTTAGAACCTTTCTGAAAACAAGGAGGACATCCCTCTAGCAACAACACAAATAGAATTTCACATTTTTAACCTGTCAAATTTTAGTAAATTGCAAGGGGTAAAGGATTTTCCGAGGAAAAATGTTACGAAAAATTGGGGGTATAATATACAAAAATAAGTTTTAAAAGTTGAGTGTGCCGTCACCTAGCCTGGGTACCATCCTACTTGTATGCCGGCCGGGGCTCCCACACTCGCTTCCCTAACAAGTACTTGCCCCAGCATACAAGTAGGATGGTACCCAGGCTAGCCGTCACCATCTCTATTGATAAATGTTGGAATTTTGAAAAAGAATAGACTATGTGAAACTCAACCCAAGTTTGAACTGAACTGATCGGTGGTAGTGGAATGCACACCGATACCTGACAGAGACATTTGTTAGTAAACCCAGATGAAGTTACCCATGAACCTCAGTTGAATACACATTAGGAGAGTCGTGATAAACAAGCTATTCGACCCTTATCTTTTCTACTGTTTCTTACATTACAAGACAAAAGCGGTAGATTTGCTTGAATAGTTGCATATATTGCAGACGGCGTACCGTGAGGGACTTTTGCCACTGTACTGACAACCCCACTAATCGACCTCCTCCCCCACCTACTGCTACAACGTACCTTACAATCTTGTTCAGAAAGGATGTAATTTAATGGTGATAGAAGATGGCGGCAGAAGTTCACATGTCAATGGCGTAAGGTTTGAGTAAACTAGTTTCACTTTCACGAACCATGACGCGTACGTCACCGCGTGTGTCAAAGGACAGTCGTAACCAGGTGAACGGGGCGCATTACAATGTGCCTGGGGCTGAGTTTGTTAGCTTGTATGGCGTGACCTCCACCTTGTGTATGGGTACCCGGGTGTGTCATGCCCGTTCGGAAGAATCCCCCCACAACGCTTAAATGTCCACTTTTTAACTTGACCATTAATTGATTTACGTAGTTTCTTGCTGGGCGACCACGACTTCTTTTCCCATGTGAGGGCTCCCACAGTATTAGCTGGTTTATGATTTCATCCTTATTTCTATAGCAGTGTCCGATGAACTTCAATCTTCGTTTCCTTATTGTTTCGCTCACTGTGGGTAGGTCTTCGTATAGTACACTATTTGGTATCCCTTGGTACCAGTGTACATTTTTGACAATTCTAAGCATTTTAGTGTAGGTCCCGTTTAGTCGTTTCTCTAGGGATTTTTGTCAGGGTTCAACACTCTGCTCCGTACAGCAGTATACTCTCCACAGCTGCTCTGAAGAAGCCGACTTTGAGAGGTTGGGTAAGATTTGATTTCCATATTTCAGACAGTTTGTTCATTGCTCCCCATGCCAGAGCTATTTTTACGCCAAAATGGGCCCAAAAGAAGCCCCAAACCTCTGATTGGAGAGTAGTACTACTATATTTTGCAGCAGATCGTATGACTGCATGCAATGAAACACTAGTATAATTGTACTTAGATTGGCATCATGTATTGACAATCAAACACAACTTATCAGATATTGACTTAGAATATATAGATTGTTCAAGCTTTAGACATTTAGGGCACTACTACTAGTCTCCTTCTCAGGCCTGTGCTGCGGCGGCGTTAACGTTATTTACCTTGGGGGAGGGGCTAGCGCCGGTTTTTACACGGCCTGGCTATGCAGACGGCGTACCGTGAGGGACTTTTGCCACTGTACTGACAACCCCACTAATCGACCTCCTCCCCCACCTACTGCTACAACTTACCTTACAATCTTGTTCAGAAAGGATGTAATTTAATGGTGATAGAAGATGGCGGCAGAAGTCCACATGTCAATGGCGTAAGGTTTGAGTAAACTAGTTTCACTTTCACGAACGATGACGCGTACGTCACCGCGTGTGTCAAAGGACAGTCGTAACCAGGTGAACGGGGCGCATTACAATGTGCCTGGGGCTGAGTTTGTTAGCTTGTATGGCGTGACCTCCACCTTGTGTATGGGTACCCGGGTGTGTCATGCCCGTTCGGAAGAATCCCCCCACAACGCTTAAATGTCCACTTTTTAACTAAAGGCCCAAGAAATTTTCTTTAAAAGATGGAGTGATTCGTATCACCAGCGAGGCTGGAATCGTACAAAAACTGCTCACTTTGTCATTGAATAAAAGTTATGTCTGATTTTTCCTTTGAAATCCTCTCAAAAACGCAGGAAATGCCATTTCAGAAGGTTCAATTTTCAAAATTTTCCGGGTAAACATGATTCTAACATTGTTGAACTTATCACACATAGTACTGGGTACAATAAGTAACTCGATAATATTAATTGGTCATTTTGCCGTGAAATATGTGTTATAGTTTAACTAGGAATTGGTAAAAATCATAAACGGTTGATATAAATAACTTCATAGCACACGATTTCTTTTAATCTACAGGTGAATTTAAGTGAAAATGAATCACAAGTCATTTTGTCACAACGATCTTAATTACATGTACTTGGTTTATAACAATTGGCTCAACTTGCTTTTAGTGTCACTGTTTACTTATTACGCAATAAAGTGTACATAACATGAAGGAAAAGGGAGAGGTGATAAGACCACAAAATGTTTTTTTTCCATTTCACAAAAACACTGTTATCTGACTTTACATCTGATAAGTTATAAATCACAACAGTTATCGCCAGAATACTACAAATGATATTAAACTATCAAACTTTACTTTCATGTCATGTAATTTCAGTCATGACATCAGTCATGTTTCCCTCAATTCTCACCATGACTCGTAGAAACACGCACAAATACATGTAAACGAGACAGATACTACACAAATTGCATGTCTATACACAACAGTTGTAGAAAGCCATACCGGTATTCTAAATGGGCATTGATGCCCAATGTACCCTGTAGCAGTTCATTCATAGTACATGTATATATATTTTCACAGCACATGTTGCTGTTCGTTGTAGTTTAACAGGTGCCAAAATAGACATGAGTAATATCATTACATAATATTTAAAAGCGAGTAGAGCAAAGAAGGATTCAAACCCTAATTTCTTTGGCTTCTTTTGAACTCCCACGAAATGTAATTGCTATTCATAATGTAAACTGTCAAAGTCTGTCATTTTAATGTGCCGGGATATTTGATCTACTGAAATACAGGCTGCTATGTCGTGAAAGAAGTCCGCATAATTATAAGTGCTAGCTGTTTGGGATTTAGCAGGGCAGGACAAGCCCTTAAAAGTCTTTGAAACCAAGATATTGTAGGGAGAACATCGCTATAATAGTCCGTCATCTTGAATTTGCTGCCGATGTCATGTGACCGTGGTGCAAGTCACCAAATTAGTAAGGATCGTATGTATTCCGCGTAATGGATCGTATGTATTCCGTAAAATTCGTATGTTTCTAGTAAGGATCATATGTATTCCGTAAACTTCGTATGTTTCCTAGTAAGGATCGTATGGATCGTATGCATTCCGTAAACTTCGTATGTTTCTAGTAAGGATCATATGTATTCCGTAAACTTCGTATGTTTCTAGTAAGGATCATATGTATTCCGTAAACTTCGTATGTTTCCTAGTAAGGATCGTATGAATTCCGTAAAATTCTGATAAATTCTTTGGCACCCCTGAAGTCATTAGCATAACTTTACATTTTGGGTTAACGCTTACGAGCTGGTAAACATGGCGTAACAAAAAATGAAGGTATAAAACGTTAAATAATATATTACGTGTAATTTCACCCCCTCTGTCCCCCACTGAGGTCACTTGAATGACCAATTGACCTTTTCCTGTTTTGCTTTACCAGCGCTGTACAAGGCCGATACCGTTACACATATCGCATAACAAGCCAGGCACGTATCTTTACATAACAGAGCGCTGTGACCTTTCGCCCCACATTCTCCAGAGCAAAATGGCGGCTGCGGAGAATATCGTCCAACAAATCCGTGAAGAAGTGTTTTGTAGCATCTGTTTGGAGTTGTTTAGGAGGCCCAAGGCGCTGCCATGTCAGCACACGTTCTGTGAGGACTGTTTGCTGAACTACGCAGGTGTGCGGCAGGTGGTTTTGTGTCCTAACTGTCGTCTGCAAGTCAGGTTACCCCCTCAGGGTGTTGTCGGCCTTCCGGACAACCATCTCGCGGCGAATGTCTGTCAGAAGTTCTCGCAACACACGCCGCAAGCGGTCGCGGGGTCGTCAGACGACAACTACTGTGACCAGCACCCCGCAGAAGCCTTGAAGTTGTACTGCAGCAGTGCGAGGTTGCGTGCTGCGCGGAATGTTTGGACGAACAACACGCAGGGCACAACGCCACAACCGTTAGACAAGCCGTCGAACAGAAGAAAGCTTCTCTACGTTCTCTCGTGACGGAGTGCAAAAACACGTTGGATACATATCACAGTTACTTACGACAGCTGCCTCACGTTGAAAAGACGCTATCCACAGATACCCAGCGGGCCCAAACCGACGTAACCAGGACATTTGACAACGCCATACAACAGATCACCCAAGCCTTAACGTCCGAGAAGATACGCTTGTTGGGTGGCATTCAGGAGAACCAGAGACGCAACACGGACACTCTGCATGCGTATGGTGTAACAGCTCAGAGCCAGGTAACAGAACTGACATCTGCTTGTGAAGTAGCTGTTTGGACGCTATGTCAAAGTGACAAGCGTTTTCTAAACCACGAAGCTTCAGTATCAGAAGCGCTGGACAGATACAGAGAACACGCCCTGCCATCCCCCTCCAGGACTGTTTTCCAAGCCTTAGACGTTGATTTTCAGTCTCTAGCTTCAGCTATGAGTCGTATGACGCTGGAGCCAGTTAGTCTACAACCTGGTAATGTTTTGAACACAGGACAGGTGAGGTTTGGTGGGAGAGGGTCAGAAAACGGCCAGTTCAGTTGGCCGACCGGAGTCACCGTCTCAGAAGACGGGGTTATCTTCGTCGCAGATTACGACAATGAGAGAATACAGTCGTTCCACTCCCAGGGAAGATACCTCAGTCAGTTCCAGACGCTGGTTCCCGGAAGACCTTCCCGGACGATGAAGCCGCAAGGCGTTGACCTTGACGCTTTCGGGAACCTGTGGGTTGTCGGGTACAACGTGGCCGAAACGTGCGATCTCCTCGTTCAGTTTTCTCGGACAGGAGAATGTCTGAACAAGATACCTCTCACACACACGGGCTACTTTCGCGGCCTCGCCGTCAACCAGCGAACGAACCAGATTCTAGTCACAGAAACCACGGCTACGAATCAACCATCGCCAGGCACCGGCGTCACCTTTCGTGGTGAGATCAAGGTCTTAAAGCCAGACGGGACTCTTGTAAGAGTTATAGGCGGATCTCAGCAGAAAACATGGCTACAGCCGTTCTGGACAAAGAGCGAGCCTCACGAAGAGATTCGGTACCCACGGTACGTCACCGTGGACCGTCACGGCAACATCATCGTGTCGGATACCGTAGATCACTGCATCAAGATCTTCAGCGAAACCGGAGAGTTTCAGTTCAAGTTCGGGGAGGATGGAAAGGGGGACGGGCAGCTGAGGTACCCGAGAGGAGTGTGTACGGATGACTCCGGGAACATCGCGGTGGCTGACGAGGGGAACCAGCGGGTAGAGATCTTCAATCGTCACGGCCTGCTGCTGCATCACGTGACGGGTGGGATGAAGAAGCCCAGTGCCGTTGCCATGGGAACGAACGGACAACTGGTGATGACGGACGTGGATACGAACACGGTGTCTGTCCTTACAATATAGACCTCAGGCAGGCTCCCTCAGGACACAGTTACTACAAAGAGACATTCTAGCTACAGCTACTGCAGACATTTCATAAACTGAGTAAATACATAGAAAGCACCAAGCACATGTCTACCACATATATAATATACTTGGATATCAGATGACTTTCCTTGAAATCTGAACGATGGCACATCATAAAGACAGCAGAGCGACGTGTACTAAGCAGTTATGTCTTATTTTGCAAGAGCCATGATTACATTTTCTGGGAGTTCAAAAGAAACCAAGAAATTTGTAATATGAATCCTGCTTTGCTCACTTTTTAATGCTATCTGATCGATGCCAATTACTCATGAACTTTATATTGTGTATTTTGGCACCCGCTGTTGAATCATGAAAACTACAAGAAACGGCTACATGGACTATGAAAACATATCTACATGTACTATCTGTGGACTGCTACAGGGTACACTGGGCAACAATGTCCATTTGGTATAGCCTTCTACAACTGCAACTGTCATGTATTATATTTCATATCATACCATTCACGGCATTTTGTATAGTTAGTCATTTATTTGTGATGACTGCTATAATTTATAACTTCTCAGATTAAGTTATTTTTTTTTGTGAAAAAGAGAAAAAAATATATTTTGAGTTCTCGTCATCTCTCCTTTTAGTGTTGGCCTAATTTATTGTATAAGTAGGCAGTGACATGGAAAAGCAAGTTGAAAAACATGTAATTAAGATGGCTTTGAAAAATGACTTCAGTTTATTTATTTTCACTTAAATTTATTTTCTTTAATGGTGTTAATTAAAAGAAATCATGTGGTTTGAAGTTAACAAAAGTTTACATTCTGTACCAATTCCTATTCAAAGTATAACACATGTACCTGACTTGGGTGTATTTCACAACAAAATAGTGAATCAATAGTATAGAGTTACGTACTTACGTACTATGTACTTACAACTATGTGTGATCGGTTCAGCAATGTTTATCATCATGTCTACCAAAATATGCACAAACACGCACGCACACACACAAACAAACACAGATTCGCATACAGATACATGCACTCTAGTATATAAATGATACAGTCATTAGGCCACAGCAATTTAATTTCTTGGTTAACGGATTTTTCTAGAAAAATAATGGAGCGGGCGGGCGAAAAAATAAAAAAATAAAAACAGGCCTAGGCATCCTATTATGGCTCAAAATGGTATGATAGGAGCCATGAAGTCAACACACCAGGCTGGTTCAATATTTAAACAATGAATTTTGAACTTTTAATGATACTACTGCATTGAGAGATGGAGTTACTGTAACAAGAAGTAAGAAAAGGACTGTTTTCAACTGTTCTGAACAAAATATGGGCATTTTGCAGTTGATTGTGAATTTTTATTTTTATTTGCAAATCAGAAAAAAATGAAGCGGCGAATCCGTTAACCAAGAAATTAAATTGGTGTGGCCTTAGATATAGATATATATTTTTGAATATACATGGATATATAGATTATGTGATTTAGCTTGCTGAATCAATCATCAAAATGTGTAGCCTGGGTACCATCCTAGTTAGTTAACGTCCACTCCCACAGCCGCTACCTGAATCTGTCTGTATCTGTATAGCCGGTATAACTGCCCTTCGGCATAATACACTTATGCCTGGGTGCCATCCTCTGTAGTTTTCGCCCACTCCCTAATGAATGTTGCTGGCTACCGTGGTAACCAGCGACCTTATAAAACACTAGCTTCCACCAAGCAAGTCATTCAAAGATGTAGAATGATCATCCTAAAACCAACTCTATGTGGCCTACTTCACAATCATGCACACATGGATGGTTTCCACTTGTGGCAGGTGCTCTGTGCCATCCAGGCGTGGCTCCAGGTGTAAGCTAGTGTTGGGCTGAAACACATCCTCGCCACTCTCCCAGTCTGGATAAGTCCAGACAGATTGTACCCCTACAGGCACCCCTCCCAACTCATCACACTTCAACTGCACCTTCTTTACTACTTCAGGTAATCCTTCATACTGTGCATAGTGCAACAGGCTTTTCTTCTCCTTCACTTCAGGACAGAATGACAGATCAACCAGTTTGCCAACTGGGGCACTTCCTTGTTTGGTGCTGTAGTAAATACGAACAACTTTCAACCATCCAAACGGAGGCTTGTTAGTAAGGAAGAAACACGTTTGAGGGTCACTTGCACAGTATGAAGCCTCTTTGTCCAGTGAGACCTCAAAAACCTCCACATTAATCAGGTTAACATCAGGACAAGCCTGTAGCCACTTGTTTGCCTTTGCGAATGTTTCGGACAGAGTTTCGAATGAGGGTAACTTGGTGGAAAAGGTGGACACCTTTCCAGCAGCTACTTGCTGTGGGAGGAAGTCTTGGAACTGGACGTTGGGAGGAGGCAGCGATCCTTCTACCGATATCAGGTATGCTCGAAGGAACCGCACCAACTTAGTCGGCGTCTGGAAGGAAGATGTAAGGTGGTCATTTCTTAAACCCTTACCCTACTGGTTATAAGTAACTTAATTGATAAGTCAATAACTAAAAAAATAACAGAATTATAAATTCTATACTAGTATATAAATGCACCCCTGGCACAACGTTAATGACAATATAATCTTGTAGTATACTTTATATGCTGTAGTTATCACACTTTGATATCATTGACACTATCTCAGTAGCATTGGTGTAGCTAGATACATAAGCTAGTAAAGTTTACACAAATGTCATGTCACCATACCAGAATAGGCAATACAGTTTCTTCAGACTCCACTTCCTTCTGGTCCCCTGGAATGGCTAGAGTTTGTATGTTCAGGAGCTGTTGTCCCTTCTTCTCTGCTATCAGACCATTCATGCGGGTCAGGACATCTTGGAAGGTCTCCACCTGTTAAGGAAGAAACATGTACTTTCTAAGGTAAAAGTTTTTTTTTTAATTTAATGGAATAAAAGTCATTGATACCATGGTAAATAATGAGATATGGTTCAATATAATATACTGTAAGTTATTTGGAAATGTAATAAACCATGAAAATTAGTCAGGGCCTTATTTCACACAATGGACACCCTAAACCATTCTCATGTCTTATCCATTGTTCGTCATGTGCCTTTGTACTCTATTATAACTTAATTGATACAGGGAGATATAACATGTACTAATTGCTACAGGAAGATATTGTACTTGCTATTATAGCTTCTGTTACGAGATGTCAGTTAGCTCACTAAAATGTTACCTTGTCACCATAATCCCTAGGCAGAACATCAATTGAAGTGACCTGAGGCGGTTTTGAAGGATGCTTCTCGTGTTCAGGCTGTTTCTGGTACCAGATTCTGAGATATAGAATATAACAAGTTAACGGGCCCGTTAGATTTGGTTAATAATATATGTGTTATGTCAGTGTCATCTCGCCATTTAGCAGATCACAAGACCATGGCAGATGTCATTTTTCCCCAGTCACTAGAGGGCGTCTATACCAAACCTTGCTGTGGAGGGAGGGAGGGATAAGATAGATCAAGATAGAGATTGATAGAGAGATTGAGAGGAAGGGAGGATCGGATAGCAGTCAAAAAGAACTGCATCGCTTGCTCATGACGTAATGGTACCATAGAATGTTTACCTCAGACCACGAAGTGAGAACCGTGAGACGTCCTTAGGTTTCCCGGCTGGGTATGACATGACCTGGGTGTCGCAGTATTCGCCATGTTGTGGGGAGAATGGCGCGCGGATCGTCTCGCACGTCTGAACCAGCACTTCCGGGTGTTCGCCCAGCCAGCGGTTCGCTTGGCCGACGCTGTCGGAGAAAGGGGCGAGCTTGGGAGGGCGGCCGCTGGCGAGAAGGCTCGGCACGAAGTCCTCGCAAAATAACATTGCTACAAGATGGAGGACTCACGCCACACAGGCTGCCTACCCACGGCTAGCTGTCAGCCCCACAGCACGCACGTTTTCTCAGACGATAACATCCTGTCGTTTGACGCATAGCCTCCTTAGCAGGCTCCGTCAAAGGGGTCTCTATTTTGCGTTTTTTTTTTCTGATGACATATCAATTGTATTTGTACTCAGCTTCTTGCCAACCGATATTTCAGAGTGCAAGTATTTGGGGTTGTCGTGAACTTTATATTGGACCAAGTAGATCGTATGGCTATCTGGCCCCCGGTCAGATCCAATGACCTTCGAGTTCATACCCGTTTTTCTCTGTCCCACCTGTCATCCTGCCTGTCAATCTTCCACCCTCATGCTGTCACTAGCTCAAACCTTATCACGATGACTTAAATACTATGACCGGACACGCCACCAACACAACCACTCAAACAGAAGCCCAGTCGCAGAGCCTGCAAAGGAGGCTAATAACGTAATGGTTCCTGTTTCCGTATTACCTCACTTGTTATTGTGAATTTGTCTGTGATTGTGAAAGTGAAACTAGCTCAAACCTTATGACGATCACTCAACCGACTAACACCTGTTCGCAAATCCGATGGTGCTCATTCAAAGTCATTCCTGCACTTCCTTAACACCTTTTTGCACTATTTTACAGTGTGTGCCTGTCTATAGCAATTTCAGATAGTATAACATCACGTTTTTAATGTCATATGATACTAGTACACCCGTGACAATGAGGCTGCACGGTTGTTTATACCGGCTGCGATGGGTGGCAGTTGATGAACACCTGGCACGGACGTTTGTTTACTGGTAAACCCAGATGAAGTTATGCTTGCGTCACTCATTTGATACATTTTAGGAGAGTCTTAATAACAATCAGGGTGCAGTCATCAGAGTCATATATATGATCATAGTAAATTACTGCGTTCATAATTCATACAACACAATAATAAACGATAACACCACTCATGGGATTGACATGAATCACCGCACCATCTTACACTTTCGATGTTACGTCACCTTCACTTTCGCTCATTTATTTATTCAAGTCACACATCCGCCCAACAATATGTTTCCAACTCAACTCAATACAAGTATTTGCTTACCCTCTCACGCCGTTTAGATTACGTCACTTTCATTTTCGCTCATGAATAGGCCACAGCAACTAAATTTTATGAATGACATCCTCCGCAGCCTCCAAATCTAATGCGATAGGGCGAAAAAAAAACAAGGCAGACTAAAAAAAATAAGATTCCTTCATTTTCAAATTTTGACATCATAAACCTTGTTAAACAGATTATGTGATACCCACATTGCGCTGAGTTTACTGTCAACTATTACAACATCCATTTGTCACTGAAACAACTTTGACAAATAAAAGCTTTAGCACAAATGCTTGTGATTCAGAGGCTGGGAACATCACTTATAAAAGGAATGAAATACATCACTACATCAAAGTAAAAGACAAAACAATAAATCAGAGACTTGTCTTGTCATCTCTTCATATTTATCTACCATCCATGTTCCGGCATGGCAACAGACATCTTTGCCCATTTTTGGAATGATGACCACTGTAAGAGCGCAATAATTTTCCCAAAGTCAGGCGAAAATGAATGCGCGCGTTGATGTCATCCATACAAATTCCTTGCTGTGGCCATATGTAAATGTAGGTATGAAGTAACGACAACTTGACTTTGTCCTCTTTACTTTGGCGGATGTGCTTGGCGGTGTCGGACGCATGCACCTCGTGCTGCAAGGTAGGTGGTGGTTTTGGTCCTGATTCTTGTATTGATCTCATGCAGACCACTTAGCCCCCTTGAAATTCAGATATGCCCATTTCGTCCATGGACTGTACTAGTGTGATCTTTTTGGTGGTCCTGCGAGCTCGAGAAACGTTCAAAAAGTTATGGGCGTTCGAAACAAGGGGCAAGTGTAAAGACTACTATTCATGTTCTCCGAGACTCAAATCTTCTTGGTTATATACTTTGACTTTTCGAATATAAGTCAGTAAGAAGAGAGAAAAACAGGGGGTGCCTCTATATTAATTTGATGGAAAAACCGAAAAACATGTAATATAATGTGATTACAGTGGAAATATGGGAAAGAGTCACTGTGATTTTTTTCGGAAATGTGAACCGTGAAATCATGTGGCTAAACATCTGAAAAGTGGAATGGCATAATTTTAATTTTGGGTTGATAGAAAAGGGATATTGTAGGGCCGGCCAAACTCCCCCCGGGCTCAACTACCCGGTAGCGTTAATTTAGATAGGCGGGCGAAGAGCTCTTGGCTGCCGAAGGAAAACGGCTAACGGCCCGATACTAGTCTGGCACCCAGGGTACCACGAGACAATTGATCTCCATGCATTTACTTCATAGGTCACCACAAAACAAGGCTCATGGGAGCCACTCAAAATGTTTTGGGTTACAGTACAGCCAGTGAGGACAGAATTACGGGGTACCTTATTCTAAAGTGATGTGGGAAAGAAGCTTTCAGCGTGGAACTTCCCCCTAAGTGGTGGTGAATGGAGGAAGAAAGGGTGATTTGCTTCAGTGGAAGTGACAAGACGTGTCCTTACTTCTTTACTGAGAACGTTCGAAGTGGAGGCACTAGCGAATGAAGTTCCACGGAGCATTTACCGTGGATTTAACGGTTCCGGTTCTCATTCTGAGTTTCATTACGAGTTCCTTGCGGCAGATTAAATAGAATTTCATAAGTTCATAGGTACATGTTATAAGCTGCAGATGAAAATGTTGACCTGTGTTAACACAACCTGGAACGCTAAATCTAACACATAAAATTTAACAACATCAACTATTCATAACAAACAACAAATAAGAATATACCATAAAAAGCCCGGAGGTATAAAATCTCAGATTTTATTTATCTGTTGTATGTAAAGCTGATCTATACCTGAAAGCAGAACTTGTGCAGCTGACTTGGCCTGACGCCAATTTCCTGGTATCTGCTGTTGTAGTTTATAATCAGGGAGTGCTACTCTCAAGGAAAGAAAACAACAGCATATATGGCATACATACCTCATGGCATGCAGTTCCAACATAGCATGTATGCACTGCATTTCTACAACCTTCCAATGCATGCTAAAACGCAAAGGCACACAGCAACTAAAACGTACCAAAGTTAATTGCAATTTATCTAGTGGTTCTTGAGAACATTACGCCGAAAGAAAAATCGAAAATCAAACCATGCAGGTCCAAAGCAAACAGCGTAGGGGGGGGGCAAATTTTACACCAATAAACCCTTACGTCAACAACTATATTCTACCCAAACATTACATACACAGATCATCCTGCGCCAACAATATTTAAAAAATTCTTACTGCAGTACCAAGTTCAATCACCAGGGGCCAAAAGTCACTTAACACAATCCTCTATACCCCATGATCTATCAGATTGCCAAATATCATCGCATCCCGTCTGGGAGATCTTGAGATATACACCAAAACATCATCCAGACTGAAAACAAGACACCCCATTTCATGGAGTGTAAATATTCAGAATACGTGATACGTACAAAAACGTTTTTAAAATCACGCATCCTTTTTCAGACAAGGGATCTACAGAATGGCAGATTATAAGGAAGTGAGGTCCCTGCGGCTGAGGTACCGGAGCCTTGTGATCGGGGTGGTGGCAGCCGGAGTCGTGCTGGCCATAGTGATCGGCCTCGCCGTTGGCTTGACAATACAGCGATGCAGCGAGTCAAAAGGTTGGCTGAACCTTTAGATCTGATTATTTATCCCAATTATTTAGCACCGTAATGTATTTTAATGTAAAAAACGTGCTAAACGTTTTTCTTGGGATAATTGTATTTTTATTAATTTGTTTATTTTTTTGCTAGTATATGTATAACACAATCACCTTTTAGTGAAAAAATGGGATAACACCCCTGCCATCCCATTTTTTTACTAAAAGGAATATAAACCAATCACCTTTTAGTCCCATTTTTTCACTAAAAAGAGATTGCATAATATACCTTTTAGTAAAAAAATGGGATGGCATGCTTTTTAACAAATATCCCATGTCAATGTGACTAGCACGTTTTTAGAATAAAAGAAAATATGGTGCTAAAAAATTGGGATAAATAACCACAGCTGAACCTTTTAAGAGCTCGTTTGATTTCAACATATTTTCTTATACGTTTGCTGCAAACTACTCGTTTGAAAATGTTGCACATTGAAACTGACAGTGTTTCTTGGTTGTCTTATGTACATGACAACTTTGAGAAACTTAAAAAATGACATTTTTTTCACTACCACTAGTAATAAACTATATGTATCTTTTATCGTTATCAAAATGACAGAGGACATCATCGAGGTCGGTTTACTGTTAATGGCCGTCCAAAAGGACCAGAGAGTATCCGATCCGACCTTATTTATTGAATGAATGAAGACCTTTATTGTACATTTTTGCCACACTTGGCTAACTTCACGGTAAGTACAGGTCACAACAAAACAAGATGAACGGATACAGTTAACAGATACAATATTATCGAAATTGCAGATGAACTCGTGAAGGTTGGTTTATTGTTTCGGACCGACATCGACTCCGCTGAGGGCATGAAGGAAGCGGCGATGTTGGCCGTGGATGACATCCGTGCCCATCGGGAGAAGGTGCCGTCAGCTGCGGACATCCAGGTCCACAGCGGGGACTACGATGGATCTCCAGATGGAGCCCTGCAAGCTTTCCGCGACCTGTACAGCCGACAGGGTGTGCGTCTGTTCGTGGGTCCCGACACCAGCAACCATGCGGTCCAAGTGGCGGAGTGGGCGATGGAAAACGCACCAGATGCGGTCTTCATTTCTCCACGAGCAACATCTGAACGCCTGGCCAACGCCACAAATACCATACGTCTCAGCATGGGCGACCAAGCTCTTGCCCTGGCCTTGTACCTGAAGCTAAAAAGCGACAACGTCTCCGTCGTCATCCCGGTACACGTCGAAGACATCTACGCTACGGACCTGGTGCAGAGGATTCGCGACCTGACGGACGACATGATGGACCACATTACCGTCGGTACCAGCATCAGCTACGCCCCGGGAACAATCAACAACAAGGAAGAGGCGCGGAGGACGACTGACCGACTCCGCGACGCCTTGAATGACAACCCAGGCGCAGTCGTGCTGCTCGCGTCGTATTCTGAAGCAAGGTACATCCTAGAAGCAGCCAATGGTGACAGCACTCTGTTGAGGCGCATGTGGTACACCGGGGACTCCCTGGCTCTCCGAGAGGACATCCTGAGCTCTGATGACGCAAAGCTTGCTGCGCAAACGGTAAGCCTGTACGGACTGTCCTTTGCAGGGGAGGGGCTTCACAGCAAACGAAGGATGCGCAAGATGCAGACCCTTGCCGACCGCCTGAAACGCTCGCCTCCCGTGTATGCCCCGCTGGCCTACGATGCAGTCAACCTGTTCTACGACACGTGTCAGATCATGCGCACCACCGATGCCCCGACGGTTCTTGCACACCTTACCCGCGAGGCGGAATGGCAGAACGGACTGTCCGGCAGGCTGGCAATCGACTCCACAAGGAGCCGAGCATTCGGAGATTACCTGCATTCGTTCGTCTCTCCACATATTCCAGATACCAGTAAGGTCACGGTCGCCATGACAGGGTCCTGGATTCTGGACGGACTGTCGAAGGTATCTCCCATGGACGATGAGTCTGGTCAGCAGGGCGGCGGGAGACGTAGGAGGGACGTACCTTCCTCTGACATGATGTCCATGTCTGCTGTTATGTCCACTGCCATGTCGTCTGCCTCCATCTTCAACAAGTCTGATGTCATGGCACTGAAGATACTGGCTGGAGATGACTGTCACAACTCGATGGTAATAATAGACTGTTGTAAAAAATATTTTCTGGTTGAAAGAAGTGTAAAACCTGTTAGTCAGTAGGTCGCTACGGTACATGATCTACAACAAATGTCCACATGTTACCAGCAAAGGCATCCATAGTATGTTTTCTGATATCTTTCCCTACAAATCAGTTACCATTGAATTTTCTACCTCTACAGGATACTAGTACATCCTAAATCTTACCTGCTGTGTTAAATTTCCAGTTTTCCATCACCGCTACGGATCCTGCAACCTACATGCAGGTGGAACATGACTTCACGGAAGACACGTTTCCGGAGATGTTCATAGTGTCGACTAACTACGGCTACAACCTGCAGATGAACTGTGACAAGCCGGAAGGTTCGGTGACGCTGAACGTGCTCTGCCCGCCAAGTATCAATCCAAGTGACAGCATGGAATGCGTGCAGACTGTCAGCTATCCTGTTTCCGATCAGGTGTGGCCATTAATTTTATAATATTAAGATTGTATTTGTGTGGTTTTGTGCATTTGCTGCATGTTTCTCTTAACAGTTCTTGACATGACAAACTATCCGGTGATTATTATTTGTCAGGAGGAGCATATACATGTTCAAATAAATTGTTCTCCTGTTGCCATGTTTTGCAGGGTGGCCGCCGCCGCCTACTGTTGTCCCAGGCTACTACAGGTGCTATTGTAGGATGTGGTGGCGTCATAGCTGGGTGTGGTGTTTGCATCGGAATCCTGTCATTTTTCACATTCGGTAAGACAGACTCCCTTGAGAGATGACCGTTGAAGATGCAATTACGAGTTGCTGTCTAAATCACTGTTTGACTAAAACTCAGACCTTATCCCTATTTGTGTCAATTTGATATTGCAAAGAATGACCTATTGCACCTAGCCCGTTGATTGTGACTACTTTACGTTCCATAGCTTTTTGCGGATACTTGTACAATTGATGTACATTATTTTTGTTGTACACAGGTATCAGTGCAGCTGCATGTGTTGGGCCTTGTGCAGTCGGTATTGGAGGAACCTGTAGCACTGCTGCTGGACTGGGTATTCATGAAGCTGCCAGTATCATCTGCACTGAACTTTTTGCCCAAGGTAAGCATAATGCTTTTTTCTGAGTGTCAGTGCAGTGTGGCTACAGCACGGCTTGCTTTTATAGCCGAGCACATCGGTCACACTAATCAAGTAATGGTAATCAACTAATAAATTAACTAAATAAGTAATCAACTAATTAACTAATCACGTAAGCAACTAATCAACTAATAGCAAATTGTATACCGTGACCCAAAGAAGAAAATGGTCCAGGCAAGGAGGTTAAATACAAGTATTTAACCTCCTTGGTCCAGGCCACCGTGAGTTACAGCAGCGAACACACAAACATTGATCAACAGAACCCTTCTGCAGAAGGATGTGTCCTTCCCCAGAGGTAATGATACAGTAAAGGTCATGAGGTGTTTGTCAGTTCATACATCTCACTCTCTCTCTCACTTAACAGGTCAGCTGGATGCCCAGACCTACCTGGCTGACGCCGCCTTTGGTCGCCAGCTGGCTGCAGAGTTCCCACACGTGATGGAGGGGTACCACACCCTGGCCAACCCCATCGTTTGGCTGATGCAGCGGTCCGACACTGCTACATCCATTGTCAAGGTAAAAACACTTTGAATTCTCATCTCTCTATTTGACTTGACTATTTTGAGAATTTATCATTTTCAAATTCTCAAATTTCCCTGAATTTATCAGGGAAAATGACTTCTTCCTTTCTTGTGAACAGGAAATACATCTCATACAATTCTCTGCTTTTGTTGGGAAAGACAAATAAAGTTGACACCTGTTTGAAAAGAATGAGAAGAAAGATCAATACATCATTCATTATGACATTAAATTAATCCTTCATCCCATTTTCACCTTTTGCCTAATGTATGTCAATTAAATTGGAGATACAGTTGCTTAATATCCAAGCAGATTTCTTTGGAGGCAGGGGATGATCAAATTGGCCACTGGAGTTTGATACCATTTGCCAGGTGGCCAATGGTTACAGGCAGCAAATGGTTACAGGCGGCCAGTATAGACTCCCCATGCCCCCAAGAATCTGCTTGGAGATAAACTGTACTCACATTTTCCCCTGTATGTTTCCAGACCTTCGCCCTCCCTTGGGCCCGACACATGAGCTACCTACAGGACATGGTGGATGAAGGGGACCAGTTTGGGGCCGTTGTCATGGAGATAGGGATGGTCCTGAGCGGTGCGGTGGGGAGGGTCATGTGGGCAGCCAGGGCTGTCATGGCACTGGGAAATGTCATCCTTATCCCTGTCCTTATTGCCATGGTTACCATTGTGGCATGCCTCGCTATGGGCAAGAACAAAGCTTGAGATGATTAGAGAACCTTGGGGTGTGTTCAGGTAAACCCAGAATCAAGAATTAGTTTTGTGTTTTGTATCAGTCTCTCTAATGTGGTATCTGATTTACCCTGCTTTATAAATGCTATCATCATATATTCAGATAATCTTCATAGATACAGTTTTATACAATGTTTTTTTTTTTGGTAAAAGAGTTAACTTTTGAAAGCTTTTGGTATCAGTCTGTAAGGACAATTTAACCTGGGAATGTTTTGGTTAATGTTGTTAAAAGTGTAAATCATAGATCTAGCTGTAATCACATGTTGTTCCATGGTAACATGAGAAGTTTGTTATAGCTACAGTAGAGTGTTCATCCATATGTAGTGAGAAACAACTGATACCTGCCTAATGTAGCGGTAATTATTAGTAGTGCCTGCATTGTTAATTATTAGTATATGTACTACCTGCCTAATTGACACAGATATCTAGGAGGTCCACATGTTAGAAACTATGTCCCTGGGTACAGGGAGGAAGAATACAGTCAAACCTGCCAAGGTGACCACCTCTTCAAGCTGGCCACCTGGACATGGTGACTGCTTTTTCTCGGTCACAAATATTACTATCCCCATTATATTAATTGATGCAAGCATTAAACGACCTGTCCAAGGTGACCACCTGACCAACATGGCTGCGACTCTCGTGAGTTGGATCCACTCGAGCACGGATACCTGCCCATGGTGACCACAGCATTTTCGATCATGTTAATTATTGATGATAACTAATGAGAAATCATGGCGACACCGGCCAGTTTGCCTTGACTGATGGACAATGTTTTGTTTAACGTAAATTGTGCCATGCCACCCTCCTACATGCATTCACCACAGATTTGAAGACGTTTACGGTATTTGAGATTAAAACTCGACTTGAAACCATTTATTATCGCCATGAGGTGACCCTCTTCTAGGAGACCAAGGAGACCACTTTTCTTCGGCCCCCTGGGTGGTCGCCTTGGGCAGGTTTGACTGTATGTACTTTCCATTCAATAAAACAGTTGGAAGGCTTACAAGTAGACTGGGCAATATAATCTAGCTAGCCTTGTACTTCTTTAGTTAAAACTATATCAGCCATGCATGAAGGAATATCTATTCAGGACTACATGTAAGATAGGTTTTAAGGTAGGGTCTCTTAATGGAGAGTTTGGACATGACTTGACAGTGAGCATGTCATCACATTTGTAATGATGTTGCCACTCTGTAATACCGTCAAATATGTTCATCACTGAGACCCGTGTGTGTGAATTAAGCTTTGTTTTCCATCTATTGTGTGTTCAACAATAAAAGTTTTCAGTGGTTTTGTTGTCTCATATAATTGGTGGTTATATCATTTTCACATCTTGCTAATTATAAGTCACACACAATTATTACCAATAATAATTCGATACATCCACATTCAGGTAAGAATGTTTTGTAAAGCAAGCTGGAAACCATCGACAAAATTATGATACGCAAAGAGCGCAGACACATAAACGTAACTTACATGGCCTTACATGTAACGTCACTTCAATAGGTCGTAGCAATCATATAGTATTCTTTTTCTGCAAAGGTAGCCAGTGCAGTGATATATGAAAGCAAAATACAGCATTCATTACGCAGGAAACATGAAAGACCAAATGCCCCAGATAGGACTATTCACAGGTGACGAAAAGCCAATAATCTTGTACTTACTGGAAAATGAAGACAGCAATTCGGGATCTCGCGCGCTTTTTTAAACTGTTGACCCTTGACCTACATATGGACACCGCACAACAACGTCACGATTAAAAAAATATCGAGTAAACACAAGAAAAGGTATGAATCAGTAATGTTTTGATTATTCATCAATTTTCCATAGTTATTTTTTATCTACCGAAATCTGTGTCAATTTCGCTTTTTTTTTTGTTCAGATATTCTTAATGTGTTTTTTTTGCGTTTTTACGCGGAACCCGGAAGTGAAACCAGATCTCGCACTGACCGGAATGTTTTGAAGCCTGAAGGTTTGAGCAAATCAGTCAAATATGAACGTCATTCTAGCATTTACCTCCATGATTCTAGTATGTACATACGCGTCGTGTATTCATATGGTTGCCATTAGGTTGACGTTTGGACAGCAATATTTCTGTTCATTTAAGACCAGAAATGTTGCACTTTGAATGAAGGAATGCGGGAACACATAATTTGCCTAGGCCTGGGTCATGGGTGTTAGATCTACATGTATGATACGTAGCAAAGTAAGTAGGATGGTTGTCACGGATTGTATTGATCATTACAAATGTATAAGTAACTCCAATGCCTTCTGATCAAATGTTATGACTACTGTTTATGAGCTGGTTAAAAATGTCTCAGAATGTGACTGGATATTAATAACTCCAGATTCATGATGATTTTCATTTAGGGCATTCCACCTGCACCTCCACATATGACACACAGACAGCTAAGTCTCCCTTTTACCCTTGTGGTCAGCCATGTCGAAAATAGATTCTTTTATAAGGAGCTTAACCTTCTCCCTGCATCCAATGCAATTTTAGGGCAGCAACTGTATTTTCGAAGTCAATTTCCTAATCCTTAATCAATCATATCCTGTTATGAAATTGCAGTACATGTCAATATCATACAGATTTCCTCATCTAGAATATGTTTGTTTTGAGCCCTGAAATTGCATACACTGTCTGTAGTAGGATGCCTTTAACCCACAATCCATACAAATTTGCTACCTAGAGGCTACCCCTGAGTTCATTGGTTAAACCAACTTGGTTAAACAGATTAGCTGATTTAGATTTAACAACCTGTTCGTTTGCACTTCAACATATCATTATTTCTTTTACCACAGGTTGATACTGCACCAGTGTAAGTATGGCCTGGGAGTTTGAATCAAAGCCTGTTGAGATCAAACGAGCTGTGGGGATGACCCCAGATGTCTTCACGAGTTGCTATAGAAACATGCATCCCATAATACTCACTGACATAGTCAGCACCTGGAAGCCAATCAGAGCTTGGAGCCCCGCATACATTAGCCAAGCACTGGCACAGGTGAAGGAGAAATGGACTGTGTTTGTTGCCCATGACAACCAACATTTTCTAAACCACCCAGAGGTTACCAAAAAGGTAGAAATGACACCAGAACAACTAGTCGCTGCAGTTTTCAGAACAGAATCTGCTCAAAAAGCGATGTTGAAGACCTCGAATGGCAATGAAAATTTGTCACCAGAGGCTCCCAAATCAGATGCGAAGGAAGAAAATGTTACTGACAAATGTACAACTGATATGAATACCGTGTGTAAACATGAGGAAAACAGAAGATATTACTTGAGAAGTTTCAGTATGCCTGAGTCACTGTATCAAGACATCTTCATCCAAAACCAGGCCAAACATCTGCTGGACAGTATCTACCAGTTGGCTAATGAGCAGTTTTTGAGTGAACAAGAGAATTGGATGGATTCTGAAGACAAAGATGTCAACAAAGAATTTGACAAGTTGGCAGTCAGAAAAGACAACCACGAAATCCCTTCTCCTGGAAGTTTTGAATTGAAACAGGAAGAAGTTGGTTTAAAGACATACAATTCTAATGGTTGCAAACAAAGTTCAAATGAAGAAGAGGGCACAGATGCACACCTGAGCAAAGCATTGCAGTACAGTGATTGTGCGACAGAGGGCGTTAGTGAGTCATGTGAACTGCACACAGACACGACTGACTCGAGTTTTGCCCAGATGAAACTCCCCACAAGGTTTGAGATTGGCTGTAAAAGAATCTTCAATCAGAACACCATGCAGCTGTGGCTGGGGAGTGCAGGGAACGTGACCCCCCTGCATTATGACAGGAACCACGGCCTACTCTCACAGATCGTAGGTTGTAAAGAGCTCATCCTCTTTTCTCACGAGGACACGAACAACTTGTATCCATATTCCAGTCTCAGCGACAGGTCGCATACCAGCCGCATCAATCTCCGAACAACAGACCAAGAGGAGATTGAGCGCTTCCCCAGAGTGGCGGAGGCACTAAGGTACCATTGTGTTCTCAGGCCAGGTGAGATTCTGTTCTAGTTTTCTTTCATGTTTTGTTCTGTCGTTTTATTAAGTCACTCACAGCAAAGTATGGAGTCTGTAGTTTTCTTAGAATTCCTATTCCTGAATCCAAATCCCTCAAATTTAGGAAATAGGCACATGGAACTGGATTAATGTCTATAACTGTACCAAGATACAATATCCATCTATGCTTGTATTATAGCCATTAAAGAGCAACATACATATCTTTTTGTCATAGCATGAATAGAATTCTCATATAAAAGACAATAAAACTAGTATAGCATCTACCAATTCTACCATTATTGTATTTTGTCTTATTAAAAATACTGATTGACAACTTTATAGCATGAGTGTCAGCCTTTTTGGCTTTCATCCGCTCCCCATGATTTGCTACTGGCCGGTAGCAAATAGTGGGGAGCAGACGAAAGCTAAAAAGACTGACACTCATGCTACACTTTTCATTGCCAGGAGAACTGCTGTACATCCCTCCCTTCTGGTGGCATGATGTGACCTCACTTGACCCCTGCGTGTCCGTGACCCTACCCTGGGACCTGGAAGCACATGAAGATATCCCAGCATGCATGTGGAGGTGATAACAAGTGGCAAACTGGCTTCATTTGTAGAATAAATTTCTTTTGCTGGATCATAAATAAAATTCATAACATGACTGTGACAGAAAATTATCACTACCAGTAACTTAAGTAATCCAATAAAAAAGTAATAAAACAGAACATAACTAATTAGTAATGAAGTCTATCTGTACTTTGTTAAGAAAAGTTGATAAACATGTTAATATAACAACATGACATTAACAGTTTTCACTGACATTTTTACCATCATAATCTATAATTTTCCTGACGATTGACCGCCCTCTACCTGTTTTTGCTCTTTGCATATTGTCTTCAAGTTCTTCAATTTTATCTTGTGGAATGTTACGCCCAGTAGCCAGGTCTGGGTTTTGTGCTAACCCATATTTTGAAGTTAAAGGTAGAACTTGATCTGAGAAAAAAAGGTAGTCATAATGCCATGCCTCATTCTTTTTACCTCCTCATGCATCCTGAACTATTTCCTGCTTTTGTTTTTCACTAACAAGTTTGTTGTTTGCAGACATCACTTGGAAGTCATAACTAAGGAAAAGGATGCTGGGATATGTGATACAGAGGATGCTGGTATTGGTGCTGCAATGCTTTCTGGGACTGCTGCTTACTAACTGCAATTCAATAACTCTTGAATATATGGTTTTTCTTCTTTTGCTTGCTATAGGTGACTTGAGTGTCAAACTTCAAGAAATACATGTGTGTTTGCCAAAATTTAATGATCTTTTAACATCTATAAAGTTAAGCAGGTGTGTTAAATAGAATTATGTTTTAAATTCCTAGTAAAGGTGAAAATGAGAATTGTCTTTGTGCAACATTGTTTTTTTAGCTCTCCTGCTTTGGGCATACCATGCTCTTTCTTATATCTATTACACAAGCTTTCTTTTATAATTTTTCTTCTACTTCAAGGACTGACACCAACATAATAGACACTAAAAATAAAAAAAATAAATTCTGTCACAGCTTCATACAGTTTTGCATCACTGTTATTATTATTGATACATGTTGTTAATTGTAGTAAAGATTAAGGTAGATTTAATGGAGATATCAGATACATCTATATTGAAAGTTTGTTTCATTGAATTTTGTAACTGAATTTTAAATATTTTTTCCCTTTAAAGCATGCATTTGGAATTTGTAAATAGAAATCTTATACTTTTTGCTATGTTAACAACATAGAGATAGTTGTGTGAATTGCAATGTACAAAATTTTTTGTTGAGTAAAACATAAATAAAAATAAAATGTTTAAGCATGACCTTAGGATATTTTGCCATTGAATGGGTACTTATATATATTTGGTTGTTATGTTCTGCTATGTTGGGTTGTGTTATTGGACTGTTTTAGATGTGAACATTTATCTAAACATGTTGTCTGAAGACAGATTCTGTGTTGTTGTTTCTTTGTTGTCAGGTATACTTACACTAATCATTAAGGCCAAAACCAACACAGTATAATATAACGGTTAACGTTAGAAGACTACTGAGATTTTTGAATCAACAATTTTTTCCCTTTAATGCCCACGATCATGGTAATGATCATTCTGACATACTCATTTTCACCCTAGCGAGGTGAGGAAAGTCATGTTAAGTGCCTTTCCCGAGGGCATAAGGTTGGTGAATTGCAATTGGTGGGATTTGAACCCGGGACCTCTTGGTTCTGAGCCAAATGTTATACCACACAACTCCACCAGTTTATTGGTTCTATATATATATTCCAATTGTGTACATGCCACACTAAGAGCAATGTTACCAGTAACTCTACATGACTTATAATTGGGTGATATCACAATCATTATGAAGGTTTCAGAACAGAACAGAACTGTAACTGTTACATAGAAGGTTAGGTAAACAGTCACTGTCCTTGGTGCTGATCACCATCCACATACTATACAGCAGTACACCCTATGTTATCTGGCCTTGGTGCTGAGTAGTTATATAAACTGACAAAGACCCTTGTAGGACTCCGTAATGTTAAAGTTACATTAGATTTGGCTTGTTTGCACAACCTTAAAAGTTCCAAAACATCTCCCATAAGCGACCAGAAAATGCGCGTGCACACACATACCCGAGACACCCCCTGCATGGAATGGGATCACCCATGGCTGGGTAAGCAAGATGGCGGACGGTGGTGTAAAGAAAAGTACATTTTCCTGACTTTGAAGGTATTTCATGTCTCCTACCGCAACGTCGTTAAGGGAAGATAAACCAAGGTGAGATAACATGTTAGTTGAAAAGGAGGACGGGTTAGTGTCGCTCTTCACCACCTGTGTAATGATATGATCGTAGCGACGAGCAAAGAATTGAAGGGGGAGGGGGGCGTTGTGGGCGGATCGTAAAATAAAGGTAAAGCAGTCATTCTCAGCTGACATGAAACATTATGCTTTTTTAAGAGCAATTATTGCAGCGGCTTCACTTAAAGAATTTTCAAGAAATACAGGGTGAACTCAACAACACTGATCTAGCGAATGTCTAGCCAGTTTAAGCGGAACAAAACATGGGGTAGTCATCAGAAAGAGAACGGAAAGACGGTATGCAGGATTGCAGAACAGTTTTCGCCTTGTGGATATTTCTATAGTTAAGGACCCCAAGGTGACTCACTTCAACACAGCAAAAATTATAGTAGGTTCACTAGAGAAACACGGCCAACTAATATGTTGAAATTTATGGTATGATCTTCAAAATAACTAAAAACAGAAAAAGAGTTATGGTTTTTAATACATTTTGGCACCCTTTTATATGGCCTCCTACAGAGGTCAAAGGAAATCCAACTGACACCCTGGCAGGCAACTTCATCAGTCACATGCAAATATACGCCAAATGGACAAACTTCACAGTGCTTAATTCCTACAAAGTCAACTTAACACACAGTAAAGTGTGTTAACCCTTGCTGGCTTTCATGTGTTTGAACTTTGAAGTGTTTAAAAAATCGCTTCAAGATTTTTTTGCACTATTATTTTCACCTCTACGTCACAGATGGGTACAGGGGTACAGATAATTACTGTGTTCCGTGACCCTAACAGGGTGATTTGGCCTGAGTCAGGGTGAAGTGGTGGTCACCATGAGTGCAGCCCGGCTGGATGTCCTGTGGTCTCCTGGTCCCAGCCATGTCAACCAGTTCCTCACATTTGGTACAGAGATCAGCCTGTACAAGGCCGACCGGATCACACACGGGCAAGTCGTCACTGGCTCCAAGGCTCTGGGTAAGTGTTATGAAAATAGATGCCCATCTACATGTATGTGTATCTGTACAAAATTTTTTGTTGAAAAATACTCATGAGGGTAGGGAGCAGAGTGGCAATGTAGTGCAGTGCTGTAGAACATATTGTCTAAAAAATGGAGTTCTAAGTTTTCAATATCGGTGAAAGTCTTGTGTTCAAGCTCAAAATTCTGGTTGCATATGCACCTTAGTGCATGTAAATTGAGGCTGTGCAGGTATTTTTAGGTATACCTGTACCTAAGTAGTATTTTCCATGTAGTATTTTCCTTTAATACAGGGAAATATCACTGATCTGATAAAATACGTAGATGTGTTCCTAATAATGTTGTAAATGTGAATCTTTCCCTTTTCTTCATGAACTTGTGTCATTCAGCCTCTGTACACTGTCTTGAAGAAGCCAACAGGTCATGACATAAATCTGCTCTACTTTATACTTCCCCATTTTCTTGTTTCCCTCACAGCCCAGGGGTTGATCCGATTGTCAGATGACACCACAGCGACTCTGCTGTCCACAAACACAGACATCCAGTATATGAAGTGTGTAGCCTGGTACCCCAAGAAGGACCCTGAGTTTCTGTTAGCAGTAGGACAGGCTAATGGGAGAGTAGTTCTTACTAGGTAAGAGTAGCCTGGAACCACAGGCTCTTAAGTGAGATTGTGGTTGGGTATTTCAAGTACATTGTACATTAAGTAATTTAAATAATTCTAAGAAATTGTACAGGCAGAGAATTTATTGTATTGTTCACAGTTGTTAAATCAACTCAAACTAATTTTTCTCTTCTTTTTTCTGTCCAGTTTTGGTCAAGATGGGGCACATGACAAGTATGGACTAATCGGGAAAGAATTTGGTAAGAATTCACATTTTTACCCAATATTAAGTACATGTACCTTAATATTGTTAAAAATGTTGTGCAGCTTTTATTATATTGTCTCTTTTTCTCCCTTCCAGTTCCACGGCATGCCAGACAATGTAACAGCCTAGCCTGGCACCCAAATGAGTCCAACCTGGTAAGATTTGTTCTGGTCACTATTTCTTCTTATGTTTTTTCTCCCTTAGCTTCTCCCTGATCAAGAACTTCATTTGTCTTATAATGATTCAGTAGTCATTTTTACTTCTCATTGTTCCATACTATAGCTTGCAGCAGGGTTGGACAAGTACAGATCCGACTCCTCTGTCCTTGTGTGGGATATCAATGCTAAATACAGTAAGTGTTCCTTGTATTAGTTGTCCAGTATTTTAAGTTAAAACCATGATTAAAGCGCAGACTAGCCTTACATTTTGTTTATAGCAATAGATGACTACAATGCTTTGTGCTATATAGTATATGGCGGCACTTCCATTTTGTGGAAATCATGAGAATTTGAAATAGACTTGTCAGCAGATTTTTACTACATGTATATTCTGAATCATTAGTATTATTCATCATTGATTTTTCTCCATCATGGCACTAAAGTTACAGACTGTGTTGGACAAAGCTTTCCAGGGGCAGGGTTTTGTTAGAATATTGAAGTATTAGTATTTTAGGTTCAAAGGAAAGGGTTTGTACATAGAACATTGTCTGTTTGTTACAGTAGCAGACTCTGCCAACAGTCCAGACAAGAGTCGGATCCACAGGGACTCTGTGGGGAGTGGGGAGGGCCCGAGTATGGTCAGCAAACCTCTGGTGGAACTGGGTGAGTTGTACAGTCTGTAGTGTGAAGCTGCCTGGCTATTATTATATTCATCAAATGCAGGGTTCTACATGTATGCAGCACCCACAATTGCAGGAACTTTGTGGTGTATGACGGAAAAATTTTCAGACCTATCTGTCATGAACCTGGCCTGATGGAAAAAAAATTGACCTGGCTAGAGTCCTGATCAAATAATACCATAGCATAGCACACCAACCTTTGCAAGCAATATTAAATGTAGCATTCCTTTTCATTCTGCAGTAAGTGTGCTAGGTATACTACTGGTATATAGAATAGGGAAGCATGCTATGGAGTTTTCTTTGACGCTACCAGTCATGTCTGTCACTAGCTTATGTTTCAGTGCCTGTCAGACACCTTCCTTAGATCTTCTAAATGAAGTGATGCTTCTTGCTGCTAGGTGGAGACATTACTGGATGTGTAATAGAAAACTCCAATAGCCTATGTTCTAGCAATTGGATGAAACTATTTTTGGAAGAATAGAAAGTGTTGTCTTATAACTTGACCATAGAGGTCTTGCTGATGTTAAATTGTGAATATTTCCCGTTTTGTTTCCAGGTGCCTCAGAGACAGCTCTGTCCCTAGCTTGGTTTACCCACGAGTCCAAAACCCTGCTAGTGGGCATGAACAACAAGTTCCTCAAGATATTTGACCTTCGAGGTTTGTATCACGTAGAAGTGTTTTATGACTGCACTTGACATTGAGGCAGTTGATACTTGTTAGAATGTGACTGAATGTCTGTAACAGAACTGTTGTTTTGTTGTTGTAAGTGATCTCTCTATTGATGAAATGCTTTCATTTGAAAGGTCAATTTTTTTTTAATTTTCAAGCTACCGGTGCAAGTAAATTGACAGGAATCCCCAGAGATCTTTATTCTAATATTCTTAAAAAGACTCCAGCATTTTGACTAAACCCAAAGCAGGATGTCTTTTTTCCCGTATACTAAAATATTGTGTTCCCTCTTCAGATGTGTCCAGACCAGTTAATGTAGCCCTGACTAAGGCAGTGTATGGGGTGGCCATAGATCCACATGTGGACACCAGGATCGCTTCCTATGTAGAGGTGAAGTACCCTTCTTTTTGACAGTTAAGGCATACATTAATACTACTCTTATCACCTGATATACGTATTGTATACATATTTATTGCATATCATTCTCTCTTTGACATTTTAGATGCATCCATTTTTAAAAAATGCAATGAAGGGATTCTATTTCAAAATGTAGAGGAGTTTCAGAGACATGTTACTGATCTATTTGTGTGTGTCCTTAGGGCCAAGTGTCTATCTGGGACACCCGTGTGTTTGAGAAACCAGTGCTGACCCTGACTGAACAGAGGCATATAGCAAAAATAGCCTGGAGCCCTACTAGGTAAGCATTGATCACAAATTGACAGAACTTCCCATTAACTGCAAATTTGAAACAGTGTGTCTGTATGGGGTACCTAATTTTTTACCTGCTTAAAGGTCTTTTTAAC